AGTCAAGGAAGAGAAGCATCTGGATTGTAGTAGAGAAGCACTGCCATGGAAAAACATCATGCAGTGGAAAACTTGAAACACTCTTCACCAATCCCAAATTATCTTTTTCAAACCACTTTTTACAACAAAAACAGTTGATAGGGTGCAGATACAGGTACCTGTGCAAAATATGTGGTTGGCCATTACACATTTAAGAAATCTGGTATGCTCATGAAGACTTTCCTTTGTCAGTGTGGACTGTCCATGCTCCCAATCTTTTCATTCAAAAGAGCAGGTCCTTGCTTAAAGAATACACAAAACTGCTTCCACCATTGAAGTGAATAGGGAACCCTGCTGGTGCACTTTCTGGATTAGGATGCTAGGATTTATACATGTGTAGATTTATTTTTTTGTAACATTGGTGCCAAGTTATTGGTGCCATCATTAGTAGTGAATGATGGAAATAATACAGAGGATGCTATTTGCCTTTCAGTGATCAAGCTATGCACAATGCCAGCATAGGAACCATCCTTGGAAAACCAGGCACATCCCTCCCTTCGCCAGACTAATCCCTCACTAACCCAAAAGTACACAGCTTGAGATTGCAATACCTGACAGAGCATCTCTCTGAATTGCAGTCTATCCAGATACTATGATGAGCAATGGACACTAGGAACAAGAAGCAGGGTCTTCTCAGTAGCTGTCACTGAATGGTGGATCTTCCCACTGAGGCCCACCTGGTACATATCCTGTCATCTTTTCAATTATGGATAGCCTTTAAAATAGCCTTGTATGCCAAGGCATTTAGACATCCAAGGATTTTTACTGGCTTCATGACTCCTCTTTGATGGAGTCTAACCACCTTGTTCTTTGGCAACCTAGTTTTCTCCTGCCATTGAGCATTCCAAGCATTATATCTTTTTCCTAATGAGCTTGATCTCACAACAATGGCCAAATACATGAGTTTCAGCTTTGTTATCTTGCCAACCAGGGATGCATCTGGTTTAATATGCGCCAGCACCTGCTTGTTCATGACTAACCTATCCCAAGTGCTTGACTTGCAGTGGCTTTCAACAACCTATGCTGAAGGGCAGTGCAGGCTAAAGCTCTGTATATGATAAAGTAGTGAAAATGGGCAATAGAAGTGCTGTGTGTGTGTGTGGGGGGGGGGGGGCTTCTGTGAACAAGGCTGACTGGCAACAGATATCCAATCAGAGCTTGCTTTCTGTGTCTTGGGCAACAAGAACAATCCAAGTAGAATTAGATTGTCGTACCTATAATGTTAAAGTGGGGTTGAGGCAGGAAAGTGGAAAGAATCATAGTCCTTCCTCTGGTCTTTATCCACTTGAAACACCATACCCGGAAAGAAATTGTGAAAATAACAGTTCTCCCATGTTTCTTTTCTGTGTTCTCTGTTAGCAAAGGCCAAGGATATGTGCACTGTTATTGTACACAACCTCTTACCTGCCATTTTCTAACCACATTCTCCTTTTTTAAGGACTTCAAACTGTCATCACTTTGTTCCCAAAATCAGTTAAAGTTCATAAGTGACAAAGCTAGAGTTAGGTGTTGCAGCATTTACTAAAAGCACTTGAAACACGGAAATAAGTGTTTAAGCACTTAATCAACTGTACACTGCCCACATAATAAACAATCTTCATTCATTTAAGGACAAAGAAATGCATATTTCATTGCAGTGTAAGAAACCAGATGTTTTCATTCGTGTCTTGATATTAGTATTTGGCAACTCTGGTGAGTCATTCATTGTGGACTAATTGATAGAACTTTAAAGGCCACTAATATATTTAAAGGAATTCCTGGATTTGGAAAAAATGTTTTAAAAAATAGCCTAGAAGCAACTGTTCTTTTCCTGGGCAAGATCTTTGAGAGGATCATTGCCAATCAGCTCCAGATGCTTTTGAGTGAGCCTGGTTATCTTGATCCATTTTAGGGTGGGTTCAGGCCAGAGTTTTGGCATGGAAACAGCTTTGGCTTTCCTGGATCTAGGTTGAGAGATGGGGAGAACATGACCTAGCTGTTTTCTCTTGACTTTTGTCTGCTTTCGACACCAGTGACCATGGTATCCTCTGTATTAAATTAGTCTGAGGACTCTCTAAGTGGATACAGTATTGCAGTAGTTTTGCTATTTCACTGGCTGGCTTCAGAAGGCGGTGTTTGGAGAATATTTATTGGCCCTGTGGATTCCCCAGTTTGAGGTTCCACAGGAGTCAGTTTTGTTCCCTATGCTATTCAACATCTTCATGAAACTTCTGAATACAGTCATCTGGAGTCTTGGAGTGTGTTGTCATCAGTATGCTGATAACATGACCGCTCTGTTTCTCCTTTTTGTCTTCATCAGGTGAGGGTATGCTAGATCAGTGCCTGGTGGAGACAGCAGACTGGATGAGGGCTAACAAACTGAGATTCAGTCCACACAAGGCTAAGATGTTATTAGTGTGTGTGTCTTTTGACTGGATAGAAAGTGTTCAACATCTTCTGGATTGGGTTCCACTTCCCCAATTTCGGCAGTTTGTGTTTCACCAGAAATTTCCACCTACAATTCCCATGATTCCCAAACTGTTCACTATATTGATGAGGACTGATAGCAGTGGTAGGCCAAAACATATGGAAGATCACGTGTCGTCCAGTCCTGACACATTTCTTTAGTCTTCCACTCATTTATCTTTATTGGTTGCTTAGCTCTGAGACTCAGCAATCAGAGCTAGAAAACTGAGAAAGTAGATGCACAACAAGAAAAAAAATAATATGTGGAATTTTATGCAACAATACTTTTAAATCTGTTTTGGTTTACTGCACAAGCCTTTATTGTGTAAGCTGCCTTTGGAGGGCTTTGCCCTGAAGAAGGATCTAGAATTGTGGGCCGAATTCAAGATCTGCCTACAAGAGCAAGGGGCCTTCCTGTTTGAGGATGGACTCCACTTATAGAAGGTCACTCAGCCTGATCTTTGGGGTCTCCCCATAATACAGCTCATTTCATTCAGAAAATGCTGAATAGCGGGAGGGAACTTTCAATTTTCTGTGCAATATTTTCAAGGGTTGGACTGCCAGCTGTTGGGAGCTTGGCCCTGGAAAGTTCACTTCCAGTAGTGTAAATATTAATAATAAAATGATAGGTTAGCTAGTGCTGTAAACTGGGCTATTTTAGTACTGTTAAGGGTGATGAAAAGTATGTATTGCATCCAAAGTTAGTCTAACTTAAGGACATGCACCTTACAGAACTTAGATATTTTGGCCTACAACTCTCTTATTGGCTGGAGAATCCTGGGGGTTGTAGGGCATTTCTCTGCCCAGTTATGCATAGGATTGGATCCTTAATTACTCTTTGTTTTGGAAAGGTATGAAGGTTATTTTAATTATTTTAGGGGAAGTCAGGTTGTGGGGCTGGTGCATTTCTTTAAGGAAGAGGTCCCTAACATTGTGTCACTGGGAACATCTAAAATTTTGAGGGAACACTATGGACATTCTCACAGAATGGCTGGCCAATCATAAAATGGCTTCCACCATGGATTGGTCACAGGCCTTCATTTCCCAGAAGGTAAACTGCTGAGGCTAGAAGTAACTTGCCAAAGAACCTAAGTATGAGGCAGAGGTGGAGGTCTTTGCTCCAGCACACAAAATGGGCCTCAGCAAAGATGGAACTGGAGGATAGAATTTTACTTTTCAGCTTGCCAGGCTCCCAATTAAAATTTATGTTTTCAAAAAACCATCTTAAGAAATAAATTCAGATTGGGAGCAGAGAGCTTGGTGGTTGCCAAAAGTGCCCATGGGTACCACTTTGGAGATCCCCTCCATTGATGCCATGCTACTTCCCCCTTCATAATATGAGCACTGGGCAAAAGTACAAATACATTTGCCTCACAGTGAACTAGTTCTCGGAGTGCAGACCTTTACAGAACAAGCAGGATACCATCCACAGACAAGAGGAGAGCTGTTAGTAAGCCTGGGGATATCCCAAGGTGTAATAAAGCACAAAAATGTTGTAGAAGATAACCGAAGGGTTATTTGGGGGTTAGGTGGCGTGGGAACAATTTAATGAGTCCTGAGTATGTCCAGTTGGGTTGGAAAGCTGGGTCCCTCTAAACTGGGTGGGAAAGCGATGTGTTCTGGACGTGGATCTGCCTGGCAAGTTGGAATTCTGAGCAGGAGCATTCCACACTGCAGCATTTTGTGGCATGACAGTCCTGCTTGTCAAATCAATATAACAGTATGATCAAAGCACAGAAGATATGAAAATAAGACTTAACAACAACACATGTTCTTAAAGTGCAATACAGTTTTTTCACGTTTTGCACTGGAATGGGGTCTTTGGCTACTCTCTCTCAGTAGGGCCCCAGGTCCAAATACACAGGAAGAAAACTTCTCCTAGATCCGTTAGGGAAGGGGGTAGGGGGCAGGCACGCAGCCAGTCCTTCCCTCCCCGCTTCTTGGCCCGCCAGCGCGCAATTTGGCGCTGTAATTCACTGCTTTACCCGCGCCGCCCCGCGGCGGACAATGGAGGAGTGTCCGTATGGCGCAGCCGAAGCCGGGATTTTGCCCGGGCTCCGCGGCCTCCCAGGAGCCAAGCAGCAAAGCGGCGGCGGGCGAGACCCCGCTGGCGGCTAACGTAGCGCGCCGCAGCCGCGGTCCACCGAAGGGAAACCACCTTTCGTCACAGGGCCAGGCAGCCAATCAGGAGCCAGGGCAAGGGATTCCCGCTCCTCTTGCCGCTTGTTCTGTCTCTTTAAATGATTCCGGCGAGGAGAGTCTTCAGTGCGCTCTGGGAAGGGGTAACACAGCGGGGGGATTCCCTGCGGAGCCGTCGTGCGCCTTGGGGAGACGGCTGACTAGCAATCTAGCAGGAGGGGCTTCAAACGGGAGCGGGGGGGGGGGCGGACTCGGCAGCCTATGAAGGCATATCGAGGAGCAGCAGGCAAAATCCAAGGCTCCGGCTGTCTGGAAAAAAGCGTTCCTTCATCTCAGCCTAAGGGGCAGGATTCCATCTAGTGGGGGCGGATCAACGGGAAAGAGAAGTAATTGTTCGACTCCAGCAAAATCTAACTAAATAACAAGCTATGAGCCCCTCTTCAGACATGGAGTGGAAGTTAGAAAGATCCGCAGCCCGGAAAGTCCAGACTGATGAAGAAGTGTTGTGGGTAAATCCAGTGTCCTTTCTCTCCTGCTCCCCACACACCATCACAGGCTGGGTATCTTTTTAATAGAAACTCACTCCCTGCCCGCCACGTGAAAGTTAGCAAATTGGGTGATTCCAGTGCTATATTAGTATTCTGCCCGGGGAAGGTTACCTGAAAACTTCAGTTTTTAAGACTTCAATTCTGCATATTTTAATTGGGACTAATCTCCTTTAAATATAGTGGGGCTTACTTCTAAGTAAACACCTAATTGGATCACTGTGCTGTTAGAGATGCTTTAGAGATCCTGAAGAATAAAGTAAATGAAGTAACTTTTGCTAAGAAATTTTTGTTATTAGGGTATATGTGTATAACCCATATGAGAAGTGTCTATCAATTTAATGCTGGAAATGCCCCCATGTGGAGGAAATTATTCCTCATTCCTGAGCTAGGCATAGTTCTCCATTTAGTTACATGGGACAATTATATGTATAAGAATGTGAAAGGCCTATGCAGGCCACCTTTTTCTGAACAGGAGCCATGGGAAGAGAAGGAAGGTTGGACAATTGCTAGCTCTGAACAAGTATGAAATCTAGTTGTCATGATGAGTTAGTAAAAAGGGGGTTTGACTTTTGTGTGGTTCAGATCTGATTCCTCACAGTTGAGGAGCAGCCGCATCATATACTTGTATGTTTGTTTTCAAGGTGAAAATAATGAAAGCGCTTGGGACAGACCTCAGAGAGATCAGGCAACGGCATTTACAGATGCGTACTAAGGTGAGTCTTTAGGAGACTGTGAAACTGATGCAGAAAGCCTTTGTCTGCAAAACCTCATGTCCTTATAAAGAGAATATAGAGAAAAAAGTACTGGAAAGCAGAGGTAATGTAGAAAGTGGGTAAAGGTTCTGGAAGACTAGAGATTCCTCACCCCTGGAATGACCTTTAACAAGGTGGAGGGACCAGGTGCAAAGGAAAACATGACTCCTGTCCCTTGAATTGCTGTGTAGATGAGCGTTCCCAGGAGATGGAGCTTTCTCTCTTACACACCTTCCTCCACAAGTCAAGCTGCATTTGCTGAAATGTAGTTTTATGCATCTGGGGAGTTGTTTCCTCAATCACATCTCAGCACCCCTGGTAGTATGACATAGGAAGAGCGCTGCTGGATTCAATCAAAGGCCACCTAGTTTAGTACTCTAGTACCCTGTTCACTACAGTGGTCAATCAGAATCCATTGGGAAGCCAGTAGGGGGACATGAGGGCAACAGTGGAGCCCACCTTGAAGGAGGTAAGGGCTGTTACTAGAAGGTACCCCGATGGTGGAGTATGCTCCCCAGAGAGGTCTGCCTGGTGCCCACTCTTTATTCAATGTGGTGTCAGGCTAAAACCTTTTTATTTACCCAGTTTTTAAAATGTTAGTTTTAATGTATATTTTATCTATCGTATATTAAATTAAGTACTGTTGCCTAGTTTTAATGTTTTAATGCTTTTGTACACTGTTCTGAGATTTTTTAAAAAAAAGATTGTATAGAAATTAAATAAACCCCAGACCCACTGAAATGGATGGAGTGAACCCATGAAATGAAAACACTTAAGTAAGACTAACATTGAATATAACCATCTGTCCACTTTCTTCTTACTATATATGATTTTGTAAGACTGCTTCCTCTTCCTTTAGTTGTCTTGTCATATCATGTTCAATAGAGACCAAGTATATTGTCCAAGTGGGAAAGCTAGTGAAAAGATGGAAATTTTGAGTTTACTTGAAAGAAACAGGCAGTATTTCTAATCATATGCAAGATGCAGGTATAACTCAATTTTTTCTCCATGAAAAACATATTCATTTAAAAAATGATTCTGCTTCCATTTCAAATTCATTTGCTCAGACATTTTAAGCACAGATGAGTCAAAGAACAATGGTACCTAGCATCGTGGGGACATACATAAAACTGAGTGCATTAATGGCAAAACACTATAATCACTGGCACACTGATTAAGGTTATTTATTACAGGCAAGACTCAGTGATGTGAAGTAAAATTTTGTTGCAAATGAAAAGGAACAGGAACGTGTCAGTTTGGCAGTGCAGTACTAGCTGGCTGGTTGAATGCAAGTGTTTTACAGCTGCTGGCTGCACTCCATGCTGTTGCATTCCAAAGAACCTCAAAAGTAATGGAAGTGTGCCACCTTGTGAACACTACCGAGATGTCCATGTAGTGACAGCTGGACATTTTAAAATTGCAGATTCATTATCCTGGTGCTGTACTCAGAATTCCTGCATCCCATTTGCACACACATATATACACCTGAATGTGTATATATTTATTTATTATTTATTAAAACATTTTTAATAAATATATATACACATCAGAGGTAGCTTACCACCATGAAATGATCCTTTGTATGAAGTCCTTTTAAGTGTTTGGAAAGTCATTTTTTTCCTAGTCAAGATTACATTGTCTCATTGGGTTCACTAATAAAGTGCGTAATTGGTTTATGCATTTTTATTACTTTACCTTTTAGTTATTTTGAATTTTGTGATGCAGAAACATTTCAAAATGAATCAAGTCTGGTAAAAGCTTACATTTTCACCAAGTACTTTGGGATCATCAGTGTAGATGTGGTTTTAAAATGTATACTTCCCTTAATATTCTGTACTAGCAATAATGTTTGCTAAGATTATTAAGGTCTGAATTACACACATGGCATCAAGTACAAAACACTTCTGAGAATCAGTGAAAAGAGGCCAGGACTAGAGTCCTCTCTACATTTAGTCTGTTTAAACTTAATTGGTTTCAATGGGATTGAAGCCGCCTAAATTTTAGAACCTAAGCCTAGCTGGAAAGAAAGAAAAGTGTTTCTCTCAAACTGTTTACATGTTTTGTGTGACATTACTTTATACGATTATTGTTTCAATGTTTCTAATTCTAGCAATTTATTATTGTCAACCTCAGTATAATGTATTGCTAAGAGGAATAGCAGAATAACTATTTTCAGTTGCATAAAGGCAGGTATCATGTCTTCATGATTGCATCATAAGTCTTGTGACTAAAATGACAGCATACTTTGGCTTTTAGCTCCCTGTGACTGGTAGGCAGAGTTAGCTGGCTGCTTTCTCTGACTCCAGCAGTTGCAACTGCACTGTTACTTGCTGCAGGAATCATGTATTCTTCAAGAAATTGTGATGCTGTGTGTGTGGTGGAATGGCAGTGTATTGTTAGCTGGATGAACATCTGAAAGACACCAGCTAACATTTAGCTGCCAGCCTACGGCACTTATGTTGATCATCGGACCATCGCAGGGGTTTGTATACTTTCATGCCATGATTCAATAACACTCTTTAACATGTAGTTCAGCTTTCCTCAGGCTGCTGCAGTCCAGATGTGTGTGGACTACAAGTGGAGGGTTATAATCCAACATATATGCATTACTTTGCCCTTTTCTTATGTTTTATTGGAGTGGGTTGGGCCTGCAGTTGTCTTTCGCAATGCGGGATTTTCGCTGTTTTTATTGTGTTTTGACTTTTGAATGCTGCAGTATTTTCATTATTATTGTTGTCCGTGGCCTTTCGAGGACTTCTGTAAGGTGGCCGAGAAATATTTTAAGTAAATTAAAACTATATAAATGTGGAGACCACTCAGCTGAGGAAGGCTGGTGTAGCTGCTTCTTCAACTGCTGTCATGTTGCAAATGTCTGAACAATGCAATGTTCTTTGTCGGGCATAGTTGTTCAGAGCAATAATAAAACAAGGGAATGAAATCAGTTTTTGTATGATTAGGTTAGTCAGCAGAAGTGCTTGAAAGGTTCTGAGAAGTAGAACCTCTCTGATCTTACATTTAACTCTGTTATAAAGGGTCCAACTTATCAAATATCAATGGGTGCATATTAACAATAAATCGAATGCCATAAATGTAAAGTATTTATTAATACAGCTGCCATCTAAGTATGTTTCTTTAAACATCATGCTTTCCTTCAGTTCTCCACTGGACATCCATAGGAAGGGTTTTGTAAGCCAGACTGTGTATAGTCTGAAAACTTGCAATACTTTCAGTCCACTGTAAAAAAGATAATACTTCACGTAAAGACTCTTATTCTAATTTACCCATTTCATTCCATAATACACTGTTCCCTGTGGTGTGATGGTTTGGCAGTGTACTCTTAGTTAGCTGTAATCTGTGTTCCAGCAACTAAATACACTTCCATATTATTGCATGACTTTACATCATTGTTTAGGCTAATGCTTTATATTATGGCTCTGTGTGAGAGAATTGTGACAGTTGTAATTGTGTCAACCCTCCAGTGTCTGCAGTACTGTGAAAATTTACCCTAGTTGGACATTTTATTACTGTTCAAACTAGTGCGTGGCTTATATCCATTTGTTTTCAGACTTCCCAACTCTAGTTGGCTAGCTCATCTCAAGCTAGTTTGCCTGTGGAATTAATATATTGTCAGATGATGGAAGGGATTAAAAAAATCTATCGCTTTGGGAGTCCCATGCCAATAATTGCAGAAGAGGCAAGACATTGGAGTCTGTATAAAGATTAGACATAGCTATGGTGGGCCCTATACATGTGGACTGTCTTTAACATCAGACCTGCAAAAGCAGCAGAGGATTGCAGAATGTGACATTCACAACTATCGGAATAGGGATACTTTGATCCTGGAATGCAGCCTTTTTCAACCTGGTACCTTCCATATATTTTGGACTACAATTCCTGTTAGCCACAGCCATCAGGGCTAATAGTCAGAAATTCTGGGAGTTGTTATCCAAAGCACCTAGAAGGCACCAGCTGGGGAAGCCTGCTATAATATAATATTGAAAGTGGAAACTCAATCAGATTGCATTTCTGAAGATTGCCGGAGAGAGTATATCTGATTCTATGTGGAGGTATATGTCTGTTAATTTTAGTTCAATTTAATTATTATACACCTACAGTGCCCATCAGTTGAAACTCTCCCTGGTGGTCCAAAAAAGAAAATTTAAATCCGTAAAGCACAATATCAGTTTGTTGTTACACATATTCCAGCAACCAAATACACTCACTTTATTAAATGACTTTGCATTGTTTGGGCTTTACATTATCCTTTGTGGGAGAGAACTGCAACACCCAGCTAAGAGCCAAAGGGTTACTTTGGAAGCAGGAGCTCAGCTCAGCTCAGTGACTTCCTGTTAAAAATGTTTGCTTCTTCTACAGACAATTCTCATTTGGTGCCAGCGGACTCTCTTTGCAATGCTGAAACCTAGATGTCATTCTGAATTGCTTCACTGCATGATGATGTCACAATAACTCCAACATACTCATCTGTATTTTGTGATCCGTTGCATTGCCCTGCCCTTTTTGTTCTCTCACCCCTTAGAGCCAACTACGGAAGTTGCACAATAGCTGTGTTTACACATTAAGACACAGACCCATTTGGTTTAAATTCATCTGTTATGAGGTTGCCATATTCATGCCATTTTTCTCCTGTATTCTTTCATTACCATTCACATGTCTGCAAACCAGGTAAGGCATGCTCAAAGTGCATTTAAATTACCTGTGACTGGCCAGATGTTGGACTAGAGCTCCCATCATCCTTGACCATTTGCCATTTTGGCTGGTGCTGATGGGAGTTGGGAATCCAACAAAGTCTGGACAGCCACAGATTCTCTACTGCTGCCTGGAACAAGTGGATTGTCAGGTGCATACTGAGGTTACTAAAAGTACAAATAACTCTATTTACACAGGACATTGTGAACACAGAACTGCTGCCTTGTGGACACACATCGCAGGTGGATAATCGAGAGTTTCCAGTGACTGAGGTACAGATAAAGGAGATTCTTTTGTATGGGACTCACATTATGAATGGTGTTGGTAACGTCCAGATTTAAAGACAAAATAATGTAAAAAATACTGTTAATGGGGTTGGTGAAGTTTCTTTGATCTCTCTTGCTGTCTCTGAGCCTGCAGAAGAGAACTTAATGCTTAAATTTGCTGTAGTCTTATTTTTATGAGCAAGCTACTACAATCACCTGCTTCAGTTTGGAGGGAGGTCTTAAAGGATCCTTGTTAGAAAAGGATCCTTGTCAACTGGTCAGCAAACAGCAGTTTTGCAATACTTGCTGTGACCGAGATCAACATGTTGCAGCCTTTCTTGACAAATAAGAAGAAATGCATTTAGATTTCATTTGCATGGAATAAAATAAAAGTGTGTCCCTGAAATGAGAGCTACATCTACACTCTTCTCTCAGTAGTTCCAGTGACCTGAACCATCACAAATCAAACCAGCTCATATCTGCAGGGTCCCATCATTCAGAGTGTGAGTGAATTTTTGGAACTGAGTTATAATACATATAAATGTGACCGGCAACCAAATATTGCTGTGTGGAGAATTCCTGTTCATGTGCCTACCAGCTAGCCAGTCCACACCTCTACCAGGGTACCCCAGTCCATTCTGTCCCCTCCCTTTGTTCCTATACCTTTTTTCCTTTTGTTCCTCCCCCAGGTAGTTTTTTCCTAATTTTTTGTAGTTCTGCAAATCTTGGGATCTCTATTCTGCAAGGATAGGATTGTTTTGGTGGTATGAGATAGGCTCAGTCACCTTCCTTCCTTGCTCCACTTGCCCATCCAGGGTTGCTTTTCCAATCTTGGAGAGTAGCTGTACCTGCTATGCAGGGACTGGAGATCCTATTCCAAGCTCCAGGGTACAATCTCCATCCCTGAATCTGGAAATCTGAACTATTGTGTGGCCCATCAGATACTGTCTAAGGGCCAAAGGTTTGGTCCCTTCAAATATTATTTCTGGACTTTACCTCCTTACCTGGCAGCACTTCATAACCATGTTGGAACATAAGGCCAGTTTCTTTCTGAACAGTCAATATAATCTACAGTAAGCATACATGATAGGAGGGTTTTCAGAGGTACCGTTTGCTTTCCAAATTGAGGTGGTAGGCTGTATTGCAGCACAAACATCTCCTAGTGTATTCCCAACAGTTACACATGAGCCAGGGATATCTGAGGTGAGCCAAAGTGCAACAAAGCCTTTGGGAACTGTGAAAGTACATGGAAATGGGTCCCAAGGGCAGCCAGCTCACTATGCTAAGCATGGATAATTTTGCCCCAGGAGGCAGATTAGATTTTTAGAAAGTCCCTTTGTTAGCTACAATTCATGTGAAAAGTATTTATTTTTGTGCATAAACACAGCCAGAACTGACTTGGGAAAATATTCTAAGCTACTCTTGTTAAAATGATGTCTGTTATAAACCTTGTACTTTCTTTGAAGTACGCACCCACCAGATAGGCCAGTCATGTATTTTTGCAGGGATCATATCCAAGGCTCACTTGAGCAAAGGGCTTAGCACACTGGTGCCCCTGTTTGTTTCACTTGGACTCAGCATGTTTAAAAGGTGTTCCTAAATGGAAGAGTTTTCTGACCACAATTATCATGAAACTAACTAGCAAGAAAAAGTTTCAATTGTCCAGTTGCTTCTTCCTCTTCCTCTTCCTCTTCCAATTATTGAGCAGGAATGTACTAAGGCTGTACAGAGCCACTGCCATACAGCATTTGCAAGGCACCCTTTCAGAGGTCTTCTTTCTTTTTTACAATGATCTGCCTAACCAAAGCAGCTATATCTGGCCTGATGTTTTCAATGGGGTCTTCAGGCCGCCAAAACTTCACAACTTTACCTTCAGGGCTGATGAGATACTTCCAGAAATTCCACTTGGGCTCATGTTTAGAGGACTCTGTAAGAAAAACACAAATCAAGTTCAGTTCACAAGCAGAAGGGGTGCCTTTGAGGGAAAAAGTTGCTTCCAAGCCCTGTTGTGATTAAAGTGTTCAATTCATCCTGATTCTCTGGATTTTCCCACTGCAACACCTTTTCTCCCTCCAGATTTATTTATATGAAATCGGAGGACTACAGATAATTCTTGAACAATATGTGAACTTTGGCCCTCCTCAGTTCTCATCTTGCCCCTCTACTTTTCTCTTTTTCTTCCCATCTCAGACTTCTACAGGGTCCACCTCCTTTCTAGAGACCACTTCATCTCTTCTCTTAGCCCCAAACTGCTTCTTTTGCCCAGCTTCCTGCTCCTTCTGGGTTGATCTATCTCTTTTCCCCCTGCGCCTATAATTTCCTATCTCTCTAGGGCAGTTTTTCTTAAGCTGGGGATCTCAGATGTATTGAATTACAGCTCCCAGCAGTCTCAGCCCACATAGCCAATGACCAGAGATGATGGAGTTGTATTCTAAAACCTCTACAGAAGCACCAGGCCAGAGGAGGCTGCTCTAGCATCTAAGAAGCTCTGCCAAAGGCAGCCAGGAGCCCTTCTGTGGACCCTAACCTCAGTCATGTTGAGGCTGCTCAACCAATCCAGCCATTTCATTGCTACCACACAATCCAGAGCATTTTGTACTTAATGCAGGCAAGGAAGACTGAACTTTTCCATTCATGAAACAGATAAATGGCAAGATCTCCCTATGCTCGTTGAAGAATGACAAGAGATTTAAAATTTCTGAAAATTTTTATAGATTTGGAAGAAAAATTGTATTCTGCTTGTCTGTCTTTACAAAATGATGATTTAAATTATAAAGAAACACTGAAATGTTTGTAGCATTTAGGTGAATGATTCTGTGCACAGTCTGACATTGAAGGAATTAATCTGCCATCTGACTGTAGGCTGCCATCTTGCAAAAAAGGAATGAAATCTCGTGTGTGTCACAGGAAATGAGCACAATTATTTGTACAACTAATGCAATTTATATAAGTCAACTCCATAGCTCTTTTCATTCTTATTTTTAAATGTTTCTGGTCAGTCCTGAAAATCTGACTGAATAAGTCACTGCAGAATCTTGATATATGGTTGCAGAAGACATACAGATGGAAAAAAGTCCCCCAGTCTGGAATTTAGGCTGGCATTGTAATGAACTTATTGGAGCCTTCCTGCTTACAAAAGCTCCCCTGTTCACTTTCACATTTATCTTTGCTTGTATGAATCTTGGCACTTAGGTTAAAAAATTAAGCTAGACTGCTGAAGATTCAAAGCAAGCCACATTACATGCATGGAAGTGCTTGAGGAAGAGGTCTCTGCTGCCCATTTCTCAGACTTATGGGACTCTTTGCTAACAAAATTCCAAATTCAGCACCAAGGAAATAATGTCGGTTTCATTTCATGTATTGAATTTTTATACTGCCCAATAGCTGAAGCTCTCAGGGCACTTACAAAGATTAAAACCTTAAAATATATGATAAATGTCATATGCATACTTAATATCAACATACAATATGGAGAGACACACACATCTAGAAACAATTTCAAACAATCAACAAAAACTCAAGATCTGCTTGAAACCTCCTCATACCGTCTTTATTATTGCGCATAATTTATGCTGTTCTCCTAAACTCACAAAAGGGCAAAAGGCTATGCAATCCCCTGTGACCCAGTACTGGAAGGCTGCAATCCTGCTTGGTTCAAACAGAAAAAGCCCTACAACTCCCAGTGTGTCCCAGCTGCAATCTATTCACATCCTTTTCTTCTGCTGTTTCAGAAGGCACTGCACTTGCATTTTCAAGCATATTTTCTTAAGAAGCTGAATTCTGAGTGCATTCCTTGTCTCCCTTTTGCCTGAAAGTTGTGCACAGCATATAAAAACCAAGAGAGCCATGCTTACCTATTAGAAATTTAAATACTGGTGAAGCTTCAGATCCCATAATCTTTATCTTGTCGAAAATGGGGAAAGTTACTCCATAGTTTGATTTTGCAAAATGACTGATGTGGTGGCTTGTGCCTGGTTCCATTTCTCCAAACTGATTGCAAGGGAAGGCCAGTACTGTGAAATGGGATGGTCCAAACTCTCTGTGGAGTTCCTGCAGCATGATGTAATTTTTTTCTGTGTGCTGACAGTGACTAGCCACGTTTACAACCAGAGATGCCTTCAGATACATAGAGAATGGGACAATAAGAAAGGAAATAATTTCCCATCCAGCTTTTTAAATATAGGACAATGCATACATGTTCAATTTAGTTTCCATTCAAGAAAAAAATCAGTTTTGATTTAGGATATCACAAACTAAGTTTCTTAATTGTAGAAATATTATATATTAGGAACAGCAATCATCCTACTGCTTAAGAAAGTTCCCTGTTAAAATCACAGGGATTCTCTAGAAACATACAATTTGGATCAAGTGAAGCACTTTTAAGCTTTCTTTATTTCAGTGGTACATAATTAAAGATGCACTTAATTTACTGTCACTGAAATAAAGAGGCCTGAAGGGTGGTTAATCATTACTATGAATAATCCATCCAATCTGCAATTATTCACAGTAAAATATGCATTTTAAAAAGTATTCAGCAAAAAGTCCAATTCCTCAATTCTTTACATTTCTCTGTAATTGGATTGCACAATTGTTTGCAGGTACTCTAGTAAAATATAGAAGGGGGAATTACATAAGAACTGATCTGTTTGATCAGACCCTCAGCTGAAGTTCCTAAATGTTAATTTAAAGTTTTAAAAACAGAATGTGAAGGCAACAAACCTTTCTTGTTATACGTAGTAGATGCTCCTAATATCTGGTGCTCTGATAGATGGGTACAGACCCCAAGTAACTCACTTTATCAGTTTATATTAGCAAATATTATTAAGTGATTCTAAAGCTTCAGAGCCTGAGTTTCCATGCACAGTCTTAATTCCCTCAGAGGTAAAATAAGTCTCTCTATCCTCCCCTCCATTGCAAAAGATACAAATGTCATTCTTGTGCATGAAGGGTACATATTGCCCGCCCCACCCCCCATCTCTAAGGTTGAACACAAAAGATGCCACTTACTTTGCCTCTGTACTTCTCCAAAGAAATGGGCCTCCCTTTCGAATCCTTCACTTCAAAAGAATAAAAGTCTTTCACTTTGGACTTGAAGAACTTGAGCTGTAGCAGGCCCAGCATGGCTGTGAACAGAACCATAGAGAAGAAAACAATTAAAATCCTGATTTTCACCTTTGAGGTTTTTAAAGGATATGTTACAAGAGGCAGAGAGGGCTCCATTTTGGAGAATTTTAGGGGAAGTCTCAGCAGGCCTGGATGTGAGGAGGAGCTGAAATATGAGACACAGCAGCTCGGAAGTGCACGGCCGGGGTGTATTATCCTCAGTCTGGACTCTGTGAAAAATGCTCAGAACTGAAAGCTTCCAATGCAGACTTTGGTGACCTCACATAGAAGGAATCTCCTGATTTTCAAAAAGTGGTTTGTTAATGTATATTGTATGTATCAGTCTTCCCCGGGTCATAGGATTGCAATCCCCATTATCCCCAGTCAGCACAGCCACTGCTTAGGTTAGGGTGAGGAGCACTGCATTCCCATCTTAGGCCCATGCAATGTGTTGATTTAGGTATGCGCCTAGAGCTGTGCTTGATCTAGCAGCACATCTGCATTTACACATTGCAAGGACATAAGATGAGAAAGTACCAGTTTCTGCCCTTCCCTTTTTTAAGGGTTTGGGCACAATCCTGTGCAAGTTTAGACAGAAAAAGACCTTGAAACGCGCAGCATGCTGAGAGTTGTGGGACTTGTTTTTTTTTTCTTCCGACATGCATAGGATTGCACCTTTATCCAGTGAAGGGAACAAATTCAAGGAACTCATATACGTGTGTAGCAGACACAACATAACATTTAAAAAAATACCTTCAAACTACTTTCCTGCTAGAAAACAATACTTTGCAAGGACAACTATCAGACCATCAGGATGCTCCTTCATAAAAAAGGATCTCTTGAGATACACATTGTAAGCAACTTGCATCCACACGAGTCTTGTACAATATAGCACAGAGAAAAGTGACCAGGTGACCTCCAGATGTTTTGGAATGATACTCCTTGACTATTAGCCATACTGGCTGGGGATTGTGGGAAGCTATGCCTCTGCTTCCTTCTAATTTCTGGTAAATTTCTAGACAAGTTAAAAAGCTTGAGTTAGTGGGACTGGGTGTTCACATCCTCCATTGAAAGAACTGATTGTTCATTTTTACTCCCTGCTTTGTTCTTTAATCGGTTACGAGTGGTAATATGGGGCAGACACCTCCAATCCAAATGAGAGGGCTGTGGAGGATTGTGCCCCACAGTAGGTCAGGAGTTGGGGAATCTTTTTCTCCACAATTGATGCATTCAGAAATGAGAAGTGGATCATGTATCATACCAGCAAACTCAAGGAAGTGCACTTCCACACAGCCTTTCCTTTCATTCCCCAAAACACAATCAGCACACAGGCTGGGTTTCGACAACACAATAACATAGAAACAGAGTGAGTCAGAAGGGGTCTCCCGGGCCATCTAGTCTGACCTCCGGCACCAGCCGGCTCCACTCACGACATGCCCACCATGTGGACATTCAGCCTAATAGTAACATAGAAACACATAGAAACAAATAAACACTCAGGAGTTCAGTGTGGGTTATTGCTGAACCATGGTTGATTATGTTTTCTGAACCCAGCTGTGCTAACAAGCCATGGCTTGTTAACTGTGAACATCCCAGGAAAAGAACACATGGTTTGTTGTTGGTTTTTGAACTATGGGATATTCACCATGGTTTGTTATCTCAGCTTGGTTCAGACACCATAAAAATCCATGTTTTCAAAACAACCTATGATTTAACAACAACTCACTTTCAACCCTTGTGTGTGGGTTATCATGTTTGAACAGAGTCTCTTACTCATCCCCTTCTCCCTGCAATTGAATGGGCAAAGATTAACAGGTTTAAATGTCCCCTTTTGCACAGAGAGACAAGTTCATGCTCCCCTTGCCCATGCTGATGAGCTATGGGAGAAGGGGAGGCACTTCACAGGTATGACTTAAATTTCCAATTTAAATTTCATCCCTTACAAAAAACAAAACACCAATTTTATTGACAACATTATTTATTTGACTGATAGCTCCTCCATTCTACCAAGAGAAATGGCACTCAAGATAGATGGCATTTAATACAAAATAGCAAATAAAATGCCAAAAAATGAAGAAATCTTAATGCAATGAATAACAATGCTTTTGCAATCCGATACTTCCTTTTTCCAATCAAATTACACTCAGTGACAGCTTCAGTGAGCTCTTAAACAAGTCACAATCTTGACAGCTTTCCACGTAGCTCTTTGACTAAATGTTGGGAGCACAATTGTGCTGGTGCAGAAGGCAAGCTGGGATCACCCTCTCCCCAGATTCCATCTTCCCATGGAAAATTGCGGCAACAGTGGTGGGAGAAGTAGTGGCTACTGTTGGTCATCTGTAGCAGCCTATGGCACATGGGCCGCCCATCTGTACTGTAGGTCAACCTTCAGATCCTTTCTGGACATCTACCTCTGTAAAGGTAGTATAAAATAGCCGAGTCAGAATTCACATATCTGCTCAGCCTTGTTACTGGGTGACCTTAAGGCTGCTCAGTCTGCAGTATGGGAGATAATACTTGCTTACAGTTGGATCCCCAGATGAGGTTAATTGCACTCCATTGTCAGTGAAATTAATGGGACAAATCCAGAGAAATTGCACACTGATTTCAATGGGGCTTAAGAGCAACTAACTTAAAATGCAGTCCTGTACCTGTCTACTTATAAGTAGTCCCACTGAAGTCAACTCATCTCACTTTAAAGCAAGTGTGTATAGAACTGCAGATTTAATCTGGATCCAATCCAGTATTATTATTCTAATAGTGTTATTAAAGCTGTATTTGACCACACAAACTTCATTTGGTAATTTATAGCAGTAATAAGCTTAAGAAATTTTCAACTCTGAAATGTAACATGAAAGGCTTTTATTGTTGTTTTGTTCAAAACAGACTCCAGGCAAGATTTCATATTCACATTTTGAAAGTTGCATTGTGAAGAAGCCGTCAGATCAATTTCCCGTTGCTAGTAGTCCAATTTCCACAAGATGGCAGCAGGTGTATGCCAGAAACCAAGCAGAGCAAACTTTTGCAGAATGTCCTCCAATGGAACTTTCCACCTCGAATGATGGGTCTGACCTGACAGGGACAGTTGAGAAGATCACAACACTTCCAGGTTAGTGCAGAATGGTGGGCAATGCTTGGAAAGTGAAGTTATTCTGCTTAAATCTCACTCCATAATTCTAGAACAGAGGTACAAAACCTCAAGTCTGTGGACCAGGTTTGGCTCTCAAGGGTCCTGTCTGACCCTCTAGAGGTGCCCAGATGGCCCTGCCCTACCCCCTTTCCCCCAGCCACCAGTCATTTGGTGGTTTCTAGACTTTTGCACAGGTTCTTCCCCATTCTGAAAGTACATACCCCACGCATCCCTGGACCATGTTTTGAAACTTGGTACAACCATGTCTGAAACATTATTAGAAGGGCTTCTTTAATTAATTTATACCCAGAAGTCCTTTACTCCTTTATTTACTGACATGACAGAAACAAGCCAAAGTAGCATGTAGGGCATGTGTACTAAATCTGTAAAGAACAGGAAATACTCTTAAGTAGAACCACAGAGCCATAGAAAGTTGGTCTAGTAAATGATACATGTGGGTTCAGCTGTGATTTGGGCATGCATTTGGTTACAGTGAGAATTATATGAATACTTCAATGCATATCAAACAGCATGGGCTCCAGGCTTGCCAGATCTTTATGCTAAGGTTTTTTGCCTCTTGGAAACTTCAGAATCATGAAGAATAAATGCAGCCATTTTGCTTCCCACTTTGACTGGTTTTTTTTTTTTTTTCATCCACTTCTCCAGATTCCACTATGCCACACTGGATGTTTTATTTATTATATAAACAAAAATATTTAGGAAGATTTACCATTTAGTTATACTGTTATGGTATGACTGTGTCATATATTCATGTTTTTTAGTGTCTTCTGACATACTTCTTGAAGCCCCCAGCAATGCATTGATAACATTTACTAATACCACTAAATTGTGTGAAAACAGTAAAACACAGAAACAGGTATGTAACAAAATATTCCTGATATCATTACTTCTGTTTTCAGGTAGCTTTCATATGAATGGATTCTAAGTCACTTCTCAAAGAAATATTCACAGTGGAAATTTACAAAAAGGCCTTTCAGTTGTTGCTGTTAGGAAAACAGCTGGAAAATGCATCCCTTTAAAATTTCAAAAGTGTACGTTTAAAGAGGTACTTCCTGTTGTGTGGGTCTTGCAGTGAGTTGCAGTTTAGATGCGAGGACAATCTCCCTCCCCTGTGCCAGCTCTGCTGATCTGTGTAACTAGTACTGATTTGAGTGCAGATTTGGTTTCTCTTTCCTCCATGTCTATGCAAGGCTTCTGAACAATCAACTATGAATCAGTGCACCAAAGCACTATGGCATCTGATATCTTATGGAAGCGCCATAAGAAACAGCCTTATCCATTGGTCTGTCTGGCTCATCATCATATGTTCGAGCATTTTCCAAGCTGGTCATTCCAGACTTGTTGGACTACAATTCTCATCACCCCAGCCAGCATGACTGTGATGGATGGGGATAGTGGGAGTTGTAGCCTAGAATCTCTGGAAAGCTCCAAGTTGAGAATGATTGGTCTGTTCTGCAGATAGTGGTTTCCTAGGTGTTCATGTATGTTTGTCTGTCATCATCTGTTGTGGAATTCTTTTGAATGGAGATATGAGATCCAGCCTGCCATGGCACTGATATGCACTGCCACACAGCTATGAAGCTTTCCACTGTATACACAGAAGAGATGGCTTCCATTTTCTTTTGATCTTTCTGTCTGTTATACTTCTTCATATCCTGTTACAGAAATGGCTTCATCAGAGGCTAGTAACTGGAGGCAATGGGCATTGCTGTTCTGAAAAAGGAAGCAGCAAGATCTGTGAAAAACAAGCATGCCTTTGGAAAGGTATGGTCTAGATCTAGTTAAGGTTAGTGATGTGCATGCAGTCTGTGGAAAGGGCTGAACCACATCAGCTCTACAAAAAGGGTGAGGCAATGGGCTTCTCCTTATAAGGCTTTTGATCACCACTTTATCAAAGCTTCCAAATTCTTTGCAGGATTAAAATTGGATCTTTTACATGTGCTTTTTTCTGAGGGTTTTTTGGTCTGTCTGTCTTCGTGTTCTATGGTACACCTATAAGGTGTACTAGCAATACAGCTGAAATGCACAAAGGTACTAGCTCCTCATGACAAAATTTCCAAATAATGCAAGCCTTCTTGTATTTAAAAAAGAAGCTGTGGAAATGACTGCAAAGCACAGGAGAGACCCTGGAGGATAACAATGCTGTATCAAACACCCACAAAATACTATGAGTTAAGAATTTTGTATGCACAATAAATGGCCCAGGCAGAGAAGCCCTTCAATACTTTACACCAGTTTTTCCGAATGGTTAGGGATGATGGGAGTTATAGTCCAACACATCTGGAAAGCACCAGGTGGATGAAGGTATTCCACACAATTGCTTCTTCAAACTAAGCAGTGGTATTGTAACCAGGCTCTGTGGGATCTTAATCAGGATCATAACCGCAAAGTACCAGCCAAGAGCCATCTCAAGGCTGGCTGTGCTCCTTCCTCCCACCTTCTTTTTCAGTTAGTCGTGGTCTTTTTCGTAATGCACACAGACTTCACAGTCTGCATACATCAGAGATAAAAATGTGATCACAGAGATAGATGTCATGTGGGAAGCTATTTCCGGAGGTTTTGCTTTTAAGGGGTCTCTTTGATGGGAACTTAAACCAAGAGCAGCATCTGTTTAGCAAAGGAGTTTATTGCTTCACTTGGGGTTTCTGAGGTTACTGAGCATCTCAAGAAATGTCTCAAAAAATGAGACAGTTTGACAAATACAGAAAGCATTTGCAACAAGAAGCAAACTTTCAAAAACTTCAGTGCCAATGATGTACAACCTAACGGATAGATTTCCTTCCTGAAGAATGCTTAGTGATTAAAGGAATGAAAATAAAAAGTATACTGAAGTTCAAAATTCAGTGAATTTCAAAATCAGTGCCTTAATATCTTTGAATTATAATATATACTTTGGCATAAGTAGTGATAAGGGGAATGAAAATGTTTTAATAATAAATAAATAAAATAAATGATATCTGATGGTCCCTGGTGAGATTTCTTCCTATATTCTTATGTTCCTGTTCTCTTATGCAAGCAGATGCACAAAGAACCTGCATGTACATGGGTTTTGCCAGCTTCTCCTTTAAGCATCTTGTTAAAGTTCATGAAATGCTGTACTAGAAGGTCTCCAGCCTTTGTTGTCTAGGAATGCTCCCCTTCTAGTGAATGGAACAGCCATTGGCTTAGAAGCACAGGATGCTCATTCAAGAGTAGCTGGATTACCTTTTGTATATGCTTATGCATGGTTTTACATTTCAGATATGATTATGAACTGAGCTGGCTCTGCTGAGCATAGCCTTCTCTTGGATCTTTCCAGTTGTTGTTACTATTATTTATTAAATAAAATTTTATCCCACCCAACATACTGGAGGCTGCCTTAAGGGAGCTGCTGGGAGTTGTACGGCTTTTTTTGTCTAAACATGCAAAGGATTGCACTCTAGGAGAATATAATGTCTTCTGTGCAGCTTTAATGAATGAGTAGTTAAACAGTGAACTTCCACCCACAGGATGTGAGGATGGATGCAAGGTGGAATGTGATGCCCAGGGCATTTCCGCTCATGCTAGTGGCTTTCCACACCTGGAGACACAAATTAGGTTCCACATTACAGGTTTATGCAATGACTACTGTAAGTTTGTATTTACTCTCATAAAACATTACATTTGTTAGTTAGGTGCAAACTTTTTAAACCGCATAGCTTTCAACAGGAAAGAATTCAAATGGAGCTCACACCTCTTTCTGCTTTTTTGCCTGTCTGTCTAGCATGGTAATGAATTCTTCATACTCTGTTGACAAAAGATAACTACATTAGGAGCTTCATATTCTGTGACTGGAATGAATCATTACAATACTTAATATGCATATTTTATTTTGAGATTTTTGTACTGGGAACAGGTGGGCTAGAGAAATGGGAACATAGTTATCATTATCTATCAATATTATTCATAGCTGCTATATCCCTCATTTTTGCATTGTGCAAGGAACCCAAAGTGGCTTCCAAAGTTCTCTTCCTCTACATTTTATCCTCACAACAACCCTGTGAGGTAGCTTAGGCTGAGAAACAGGGACAGGCCCAAAGTCACCCAGTGAGCTTCATGGCTGACTGGGGACTAGAACCCAGGTTGGGATTTTTTGGATAATTACTATTTTGGAGTAAATTTCTGACAGAGAATGTGATAAAAGCGTCTTCTGGAATTTTCTGGACTCAGTCTGTTGGCCCATCTAATCCAAGGGTGGGCAACTCTGCATGCTCTGAGAGCCAATGTCCACCCCCATGCCACTCCATTCTGACATAATCCAAAATACTGTGGCCAACCACTATAAAGCTCCTGCCTAGGCTTGTTGTTTCCCAACATATGAAACACTGAGGCATACTGGCTTGCTGTCATCACTAGTGGCCACTGGTAGATTTATCCTCCTCCATGCATTGGTTCAATTTCATTTTAAAGTGATATAATCTAGACTATAATCTAGTCGTCACATCTTGTGCCAGTAAGTTCTATAAACCCATTTTGTTGCCTGAACGGAATTCTCTGCATTCAAAACTAGATGGATTCAGATCAGACCCAGATAATGCTCTACAGCTGGAACTAAGTAGGTTTATAACATTGTCAGCATGAAATCACATCCAGCAAATTCCCACTCAGTCATGAAGAGCACTTGGGTATCCTTGGCTCATGATCTCTCATCCTAGCTTGCCTCATAGTTGCTGTGAGTATAAAAGAGAGGGAGGAGAAAAGAACCATGGACACCATTCTGAGCTCCTTGGTCCTGGAAGGTGACATATAAATTTAATAATAAATGTGGGCTATATAAATTATTTGGAGCTCTTCAGAAAGAGTGAGATTTGAAGTAAATAAATCATTGTTCCATTATTTTTGCAAGCCAAGTAGGGTAGTCACCAAGTGGGACCTTTCTTGTTATTGTTATGCTCCATCAAATTATCTCTAACTTATTGGCAACCCTGTGCATCACTGCCCTGCAAAATGCCCTGTCCTTCACAGTCTTTCTCAGCTCTTGAAAACTCATGGCTTCTTTTATGGAATTAGTTCTACCTCCTTGGTCTCAACTTACCCGAGCATTATTGCCTTCCTCATTAAGTCTTGACTTCTTGCGAAGTGCCTGAAGAATAAGAACGAAGAGACCTTCCCTAGTTATTTTATAAAAGTGATATATTTATGCCTTAGTTTAGGATCTTCCCATTAAAACTGTAAATTTCATTGTGTTTTAGACTGAATTGTGTTTTTAGATATGAAGAAACATCTTAAGTTAAAACTATTCCTTGTACCTTTAGTATATGTATTAAATATATACTTTTCTCCCCAGATCTAAACTTATTGGACTGGAGCAAAGAAAACCTCATTGCTCTTGCTCTAGGATCTGCTGTACACATTTGGAAGGGAAAGGAACCCCAACATGTTGAAAGCATGAGTGTGTGTCCCAGCTCCAAATATATTGCTTCTGTAGCATGGATGAAAGAAAATGCTCACCTTGCTTTTGGCACAAGTGATGGAGAAATGCAGGTGCTGGGTACTTACTTGCATTTTTTCATTTTAGATAGAGCAAAATGGTACTACCCATATCTCATCCTGTCCTTGAGTTAACATAAATGAAGAAATCTTGATTTTACTGGAGGCCATGGTTTGGCCTGGCTATAGTACTTGTGTCCAGCTTGTTCATCTCAGGATGCAGTTCTTGCATGCGTGCAGCTCCCAGAAAAAGGCCTTGCAATATGGGGAAAGGCTGCAGTGGTAGAGAACCTACTTTGCATGGGGAACATCCCAGGATCAATCCCTGGTGTCTCCAGGTAGGGTTGTCTGAAGCCCTGAAGAGCTGCTGCCAATCAGTGTACAATATCATGAATCAGACCTGGCATAAGGCAGCTTCCACTGTACCCCATGAAACAAGGGCTTCTGTGTGCAAGTTGTGGTCCATTGAAGTTGGTAGCTGTTCTGCTCTACACCTCTTGTGGTGAAGGCTCAGAGTCTTGGATGCCAGTGAGTCATAGATTACAGGATCCCACTGTGGAACAGTGGTTTGAGCAAGTGAGGCTTCCCAAGGAGGCAGGAACTAGAACAGGATGGTACCATGGAGAGTTCAGAGGACAGCTAGTAGCCTGACAAGCTTGTCAGTCTGCTGCTGAAATAGACAACAGCGTTACCTAGGGGTCTACTGACTAAAGCATTCTCTCTTAAAGGAGCCTGGTCTATTTTATCAGCCACAAGGTGCCATGGCACAGGGCTGAGTGTGACATGCTGGTGTATTTGTGGCTGGAGTGGTCAGAGTCCAAAGATAGCAATGTGATCTCTGGACACATGGAGACAGGTCTCTGGGCCCTGATGAAGTGGAAGCCTTGTAACTGAGTGTTTCTGTAAATGAACAGCTAACTCAGGGGCCTCTTCTTCCAAGAACAAGGGCTTAGTATTCTAATTCATGGCCATGCCCCATTGCATTTCCAATCAGGTTATATGATAATGTATAACTGTATATACCCTTGGCAGTGGGATTCAAGCTGGTCACAATTTCATTGGATTTACTCTAAGCATGATTTTTTCTAAGCCTGACTAATTCTAGATCTGATCCAATGTATCTGGCTCAAACTCAGCGCATGTAGTTCTTTGTTTAGTAAGGAAACAGCAAATGGATACCTGACTGAACATGTAGACCTCCTTGATAGAGCATGGTGTTTGCCACTGTGGTGTCTTATAATGAAAATGAGGATTTTAGCTAACATTGTGGCTGTATGAGCATGTAAACAAGTATCAGTATCTATCATAAACAGTCTAGGATTAAAAGGATGTGATTTTGTATATATAATTTATATTGATAAAGTCCTGTATTGATTTTAACTTTTCTACTATTCAAGTAGAATGAACACTAGCATTTTCTTTTAGTAATGTTATACCTGAGCAAACAAGTTAGTTGACATTAAATGACAAGACAAAGAGTGCCGGTCAGGGTATAATTATGTTACTTAATTATGTATTTATTGTTCAGTTGTGGGACATTGAAACTCAAAAGAGGCTGCAAAATATGTTTGGCCACATGTCTGTAGTTGGAGCCTTGAGTTGGAATGGTTACATGCTTAGCAGGTGAGCAACAAAATATATTATTTTGCCTCTGTGGAAGCCTGTAGAAAATAAGGACTTATTTTACAGATGTAGAAAGAGCCGCTGTAGAATTTAAATTGTATTGAAGAAGAGAGAATGCTATTCTGTCTGTCACCCAAGACAAAAAAAAAATTGTTTGCAGGTAATGGTGGCATTTGGTGACAATTTTTCCCATGGTTAATGGGAATGTACACTGTGCATAAGTCTCTTCTGGTCTAATCAGAACTGAGGGACTCCTTAAAGATATTCCAGTGTGTGGAATATTTGGAATATTAAATGTTTCCAGGATTCAAGTTTGGCTTTCACAGTTTTATTCCCTGCAAGAAGTCCTTACAGCCCATAGGACCCAGGGTGGATTGGAGAAACATAACATATGAACCGGACAGTTACAGGGCAGTGACCATTATCTGGATGCCTTGAAATAACGTAGCCTTGATCACAGAATTTGCTGCTAAGAGTGTTAGATCGGTTTTTACTTTCCATCTGAACCCAACTATCATGAACTCATACAGTGACTCTTCACATTAGTTGCATTTTCTAGCTTGGTTTTTGCTTTTGCTTTGTGCATTCAGATGCAGCCAACATTTAACACCTACAAATTTGTGTGAACTGAAAATAGTACTTTTTTCAGCTTATCCAATTCGGTTGGAATTTTTCATGGGTGATCTCTTCCTGTTGCTACCAAGACTCTTGCCTGTTTTTCTCTTTACAACCCTCTAGCATTAAGTCTTCCATCCCACTGTCTTCCCCATGGTACTCCTAAACAGCAGCTGGGAGACAGTACACTGAACAGAATGTCCTGACCATATGTTAGAGAACTTGGGTGGGAAGGTGTACTCACGTCTCATATGTGGTATTCCTATGGACAGCTGGTCGCCCAGTTTATGAACAAAATACTGAACTAGATGGAATCATGGTCTCCTCTAGCCTCATCATCATTGTTGTCATCATCAATCCCACCTTTTTCCCACTTATAAGCAACTCAGAGTGACTTACACAGTTCTCCTCCTCTACATTTTATCCTCACAAAAGCTCTAGGTTAGACTGGGTGATTGGTCCAGAGTCATCCAGTGAGCTTCATGGCTGAATGGAGATGAGGACCTGAATCTCCCAAGTCCTGATCCAACACTCTCACCACTATGCCACACTGGATCTCAAAGGCAGTACTCTCAAAAGCATGGCTCCTTTTATATTCTTAATAAAGGTGGTATTCCATAATAATAAGCTGCCTAGGCCTTAATGGGGGGAACCTTTGACTTGTGAACTGAATTCACCTCACAGAAATTCCCAGTCTGGCCTTTGAAGGAACCTTGGAGTTGCTCATCTGTGAAAGAGTTTGTTTATCTGTTTAGTCATCCATATGACCCTAAGAATATTTAAATACTCCTCCCCTAGTGACTTTCTACACCATGTGGTTGGATCCTTTGAAGCAGCCCCCAGTTACATGGGCTTTGTTCTTGAATAAGATGGTCCCAGATGGAAGAATTTTTGAAGTGTATGTAAAATACAATGTAATTTTGAGAGAGAGTGACAGAATATTGCAAACTAGCTTTTATCTATCTGTTGACAGATAAATGCTCCATATTAAATGCCCTTTCTTGCTGCTTATATATGAGATAAGTACTGACAGCTTGTAAACTTTTGATATTGGATATTAATAGGAATATTCCTATCCTATCCCCAGCCATACGGGAATTTCATTGAAGTTTGAACAAATGTCAAAAATACCCTTTTTACAAAGTGATCACATTTTTGCAGGGGATAAGCTTGTACATTCTTGAACTTGCCACTGCTGTTGCAAAAACTGGCCTTTTTGGAAAACTTATTCTTTAAAAAGTCATTTTCCATGCTTTAATTAGTGGGAAAAAGCATACATTTGGGTGCATACTTGGAAATATGCTTATGTTTTCTGTATCTTGTATATAAGCAACAGTGAAGCAAAATAATTTTCAAGGTGGTGGGGGGAGGAAATCCTCAAAAAGTTCAAAATCACTCACTCACTCATTCATTCATTCACCAATACTACATTCTTTCACATTTGGTAGTACTGTCTCCTGTTGTCTACAGTGGCTCAAGGCTAGGATACATTTACCATCATGATGTTCGGACAGCTCAGCATCACACTGGGATGGTTAGACAAAGCAAACAGAGTGTTTGCAGTTTGCAGTGGTCTCCCAACAACAAACTGCTGGCTTGTGGTTCTAGTGATGGTCTACTGAATATTTGGTCTAATGATCAAAGTGTGACAGCATGGTGTAGGCCACTGACCTCAGTACTCCATTACTCAGCAGTAAAGGTAGGATGATAATATGGTCTGACATTTTATGACATGTAATTCAGTCAGACTTTGTGCTACTGTTGCCTCGAAGTGGCATTTCGAAATTGCCTTTTGCATGAAACAGGAAATACATTAGCAATTTACATATTTGCCCTTGGAAAATTTCTTTAGAACAAGCTAAACTGATTTATAGTTGCCTGATGCAGTTGTGCAACACTAGAGAAGCACAACTTTGAAAAGCCACGATGCCCCTACTTTTCCTATCCTTAGGCAATTATGTGCTGACCGTGGCAATCTTCAGTAATTGCCACAGGAGGTGGAATGAAGGACAGATCTTTGCACATCTGGAACATAATCAGCATGAATGACCTCAAAACTGCAAATTCAGAATCTCGGGTGAAATCTTAATATGTCTGCTCTGCATGTTTTAGCTTTCTGAACTTGCGTTTTGCAGCAGTCTGTCCATTCACCTTATTAGTTTCATATACGAAAAGAGCTGCTAGTCATTTAAAAACCTGGCTGAATGAAATGAAAGATGAGAAAGAGTTGTGACTTTGTGTGGGTGTTATTAGAAAACACTTTGTCACATGAATGTGGAACAAATATTAGGAATGGAACAACCTCATAGGTATCAGTTTTCATTGCAATGCACTTGACAAATTCAGATCTTGTAATGGCAAATGCTGACCTGATTGCTGGTCTTATGCATTTTGTTCCAGAAGTTGAATGATCAAAATACTTACTTGATTTTGGATCTCATTCTACAGTTACTCTGTTTCTTCAGAAAAAGGAAAAGGTGCCATGTCTATCTTACATGCATTTTCCTGTACAGCATACTTAGTTCCACAGGCACGTTGGATTAGTACCAACTCTCAGCAGTCACAGACAGAAAGGACAATAGTCAAGGATGCTGATCTGGAAGGCATCAAGTTGGGAAAGTTGACTTCTGTTCTACAAGGAGTATCCAAAAATTTAGTTCAGTCTCAAAAGCAGATGAAATGTGTACATGGCATTCCACACAGATGAAATGTGCCTTTTTACATACATTCCAGATATGCTTCCTACTCTGGTTGCCAAACACCAAAGAAATAGTAACAGGACAAGACCATCCTGGGAATAAGATAAATATCTGGAAGTATCCTATGCTTTCAAACTCAGCAGAGTTTTATGGTAAGCATGTTGATAACCACAGCCACTCTGTCTACGTAGTTACACTTTTGTTCAGCATCTGATCAATGAGCCTATTTTCACTTTGCACTGAAAATTTCAGGGTGGTGTTCCTGCCACAGCTACAGTAAAGCTTGAATTGAAGATGATTTTTAAAAGAGTGCCACTTAAGTCAGAGATTAAAACACTTTAATAATTTACTTTCCATTAAGCTGGGAGTTTGGAATATAGAATATTTACTGCTGGAAAATACAATAGAATATTTACTACTGCAGCAGGACATAAAACCAAAATGGCTTAAAATGAACAAGTTCAGATATCATCAGTTCTGTGAATGATCAAAGTGTAAAAGAGCCTTTGGCTAGCTATGTCAAACCTGCTCTCCTGTTCTGAGCCAGAAGTGGTCTGTTAAACTCATCTGAGAGCAAAAAAGGGTTGTTGGACCCTAAACATTAAATCAAACCAATATTGACTGGGCTTAGGCCCAACATACTAAACATCTTCTCTCTCTTAAGAGAGCCCTTCTTTTCTTTCCTAGAATTTTCATGGCAAATGGGAAGGTCTCAGGAATATTCTCAGTTGCTGGATGTCACTAGTAGACTGGATGTATCTAGTAGCCATAGGATTGTGCTGTCTATTTCTTAATCCTCCAATTAAACCAAGTTAAATTGACTGTCATATTTGTAGCATACACATTTTATTTCCTCTCAATTTCTTTTATGTATGGAGGAGGCTGGATGAAATGCATTCGTTTTTCTTATTTCATGCACTCTGCTCTTCAAACACTGATAATTCCAGTGCACTCATATGTGCATGGTTTTAAGAGTATCGTGATTGTATTATTAGCTTTGTAGTGTCAGAAGCTCGAGTTTCTTTTCCCTCCATTTTTAATCTTCACTTTTGAGCTGAGATCCAGTGGTGCAATCAGCTGGATGCAATACTAAAGTTCTTCTGGGACTGCACCAGGTGTAGGTGTTGCACATTTGTGTTCCTACTGCTAATGAACAATGATTTCACAAAACTATTGCATTTGAAAGGGAAATCTAAATTTTCTTTCCAGAGGAGTAGCCATGTCAGTCTCTTACAAAAAACAGAAAAATGAGCAGTCATTGGCATCTTAAGAACTAAAGCATTTATTGCTACTACAGGCCACTTCACCATGCATCTGATGACATGGGCTGTAGGCCACAAAAATGTCTTAGTCTTTAAAGTGCCACCAGGCTCTAGAATTTCTTGATATGTCAGAGACATTTCTCTGTTTTATCTGAGAGGTAAGATGCATTGGTCATTTTCCACAAGTAGTCTGTTAACCATGTAAAAAGGTTAAATGGTTAAAATAAAAGAAACCGCAAGCTGCTTTCTCAGAAAGATAGTTCATCTCTGTGCGCTTGTGGACAGAGAGTAATTTCTGAGGCCATGACTCAAAGGGCTGTACCCAATCAAGTTCAAGAAATACTTCCCACATAAGTGAGAATCATCCCCATATCTCACTAGAACTTTGCATATGACCATCGTCTTAGTCTAAAGAGCTGTGGGCTGAAAATTAGTACTGGAAACACAGTGTGGATGTTGAAACTTTAACTGAGGTATTCTTCCATCTGATTAAAAAAAACAACTCACATGAACGTTGTGTAAAGTGTTCTGCCCAGAGATAGCAGCTTTAAGTGTGTGTATTTATTTAAAATTTTGTATCCTGCCTTTTACAGTGTCTCAGGACAGCGATAACATAGATAAATAAGACACAGCATCACAATAATATATCAAATCAACATTAAAAACAATAACTTTTAAAATGCTGTGAAAATGAAAAGGTTTTGGCCTGGCACCAATGCTTTTTTCATTTTGGCACCAGGCCTAAACCTTTTTATTTTGGTTTACAGAGCCTCCATCTCTCTCACAGGTCTTCCGGTCCCTTTGAGACCAGGGCTGGAGTGCCTCTACTTGGTGTTGGGCGAACGAGACAGATTGGGGATTCTATTGGTGTACCGTGCACCTTTCTGCCCAGCAGTCTCCCTATCTGAGCTGACAGAGACCGTCTCGGACCTGGTGTTGAGGACCCCCAGGATGTTGGTCCTGGGGGACTTCAATCTCCATGCCGAGTCTGGACTGACCGGGGCGGCTCAGGACTTCATGGCCTCTATGACGGCCATGGGCCTGTCTCAACACGTCATTGGCCCGACCCATGAACGTGGACACACTCTGGACCTGGTATTCACGACGGGGCAGGTAGAGGATGACCTGAGGGTGAAGAACTTATGTTTGACTCCCCTATCATGGTCAGATCACCTCCTGGTGAGGTTTGTGCTTGAGAGCGGCCTCTCCCTCTATAAGAGTGCGGACCCGATTGTATGGGCCTGCCCCCGGAGCCAGATGGATCCGGATGGATTCCTGAAGGCCCTGGGGGAGTTTCCGGCTGACAAGACTGGTGCTCCTGTCGAGGCTCTGGTCGAACTGTGGAACGGAGAGATGACCAGGGCTGTGGACACGATCGCTCCTAAGCGTCCTCTCCCACCGGGCAGAGTCCGCTCTTCCCCTTGGTATACACCTGAATTACGGGCGATGAAGCGAGTTGGGAGACAGCTAGAGCGTAGGTGGAGGAAATCACAGGATGAATCTGACCGAACACACTTGAGAGCCCATTATCGGGCCTATGCTGTGGCGGTGAAGGCGGCGAAAAAGAAGTTTTTTTCCGCTTCCATTGCCTCCTCACAATGCCGTCCAGCGGAGCTTTTTTGAGTGGTGCAAGGCCTGGTTCGCCTGGGTCCTAAGGAAGATCCGATGCCACCCTCAAAGGCCCGCTGTGACGACTTTGCCAGGCATTTCAGGGAGAAAATCGCTCAGATTCGTCACGAGCTGGACTCCACTAATGAATCAGAGGTCTCTGAGGAGTCGCCAATGCCACCGTCTGGTCCAAAATTATTGGAGGAATTTCAATTATTGCGGCCCAATGATGTGGACAAGGTGCTTGGAAGAGTACGTCCCACCACTTGCCTATTGGATCCTTGCCCGTCTTGGTTAATAAATAACTCCAAGCACGGGATTGGGACCTGGATTTTGGAAGTGGTTAACGCTTCTCTGAGGGAGGGTCGAGTGCCTGCCCCTTTAAAGGAGGCGGTAATACGACCGGTCCTGAAGAAAGCGTCACTGGATCCAGAGATGGCCACTAACTATAGACCTGTGGCCAACATCCCGTTTCTGGGCAAGGTGCTGGAGCGAGTGGTGGCGGGACAACTCCAAGCACTCTTGGATGAAACTGATTATCTGGATCCTTTTCAGTCCGGCTTCAGACCCGGGTACAGTACTGAATCTGCCTTGGTCGCCCTGTACGACGACCTGTGCAGGGAGAAGGACAGGGGGAGTACATCCCTGTTGGTTCTTCTGGACCTCTCGGCGGCTTTCGATACCATCGACCATGGTATCCTTCTGGATAGACTTGCGGGATTGGGGGTTGGAGGCACTGCTTTGCAGTGGTTCCGCTCCTATCTCGACGGTCGATTCCAGAAGGTAGTGCTGGGGGACCATGTCTCTACGTCATGGCAGCTATGCCATGGGGTACCACAGGGCTCCATTCTATCCCCTCTGCTATTTAACATCTATATGAAACCGCTGGGAGAGGTCATCAGGAGGTGTGGGCTGCGGAATCATCAATACGCTGATGATACCCAGCTTTACCTCTCCACTAATCCAGGTGAGGCAGTGGCTGTGCTTAACCGGTGCTTGGCCGAGATAAGGGAATGGATGAGGGCCAATAAACTGAAACTCAACCCAGACAAGACGGAGGTCCTGTTGGTTGGCGGATCGGGTTTCGGAGAGGGTGGATTTGACCTGGTCCTGAATGGTGCAACACTCCCTCTTAGGGATAAGGTCCGCAGCTTAGGAGTACTCCTCGACCCGGAGCTTTCTTTGGAAGCTCAGGTGACAGCAGTGGCGAGGAACGCCTTCCTTCAGCTTCGGCTGATTAATCAGCTGCGCCCCTACCTGGAGTACGACTGCCTGGCGACGGTGACACACGCGCTGGTGACTTCCCGCCTAGACTTCTGTAACGCGCTTTACGTGGGGCTTCCCCTGAAGACAGTCCGAACACTTCAATTGGTGCAAAATAGAGCTGCCAGGTTGCTGACGGGGACGGGGCGTTATGCTCACATGACTCCAGTCCTCCGTCAGCTTCACTGGCTTCCCATTGAAGCCCGGGCCCAATTCAAGGTGTTGATTATGACCTACAAAGCCCTAAACGGCTTGGGTCCTGGCTACCTGAATGAGTGCTTACGTCCGTATATGCCCGACCACCCTTTGAGATCTGCGGGAGAGTCCCTTCTCCGGGAACCCTCCATGAAAGAAATTAGGAGAGTAAATACCCGGAGGAGGGCTTTCTCTGCGGTGGCGCCCAACCTATGGAATTCACTCCCCAAAGAGGTCCGCCTGGCACCGTCGTTACTGGTTTTTCGGCGCCAGGTAAAGACCTTTTTATTTAAACATCATTTCAATTGTTAAAACATATGATCTGGCCTGGGCAACTTCTTCTTCCTTCTCTTTCTCATCCTATATCTTTATTTTATACTGATAATTTTAATTTTGTATTTGTAAATCAATGTATTTTTTGTATTTTTATATTTAATGGTAATTTATTATGTACTATTGTATTTCAATGTATTTTATCATGTTGTAAGCCGCCCCGAGGTTTCGGCAAGGGGCGGCATAGAAATGTTATAATAATAATAATAATAATAATAATAATAATAATATTTCCCCAGCATTTTAAATGCCTTTAAATGATGAAAAATCAAATCACATATCTGTATGTGTGTGCACCAGACAGAATTTTGTGCTCCAAGCATCGCATTATGGTGACTGGTTCAGAGTCCTTGTTAAGCAAACAGCTGGTTTAAGGCTCAAGATGCCCAGAGGTTTGTGAGAGCTAATGGTTGCACTAAACATCCCCAACCAGCCTTGCTTCATATGCTTTGGATTACAAATCCCATCATCCCTGATTATGCTGGCAGGGACTGATAGGAGTTAGGGTTCATCTGGAACATCTGAAGGAGGTAATAGGTAGAGAAGACTTGCTTAGGACATAGCATTGGAATCTCTGTGTTTGAATGAAATATCCATTGGAGTGTGAATGTGCTACATTTTTGCAAGGTGAAGTGAGATGGCAGAGGGGTATGCATGCATGTATGTGTGTGAAAACATTGGTTTTCTATTGGAGACAATTAGGGAAAGAGAAAGCCCAAGGTGGTGCAAGTCCTCTCTCTGGGGATCTAATGTCCTGCATTGTGAGAGAATCTATTAATCCTCTTTTACTCTCTTCTTATGTATTTATAGATATTGCAAAAGCTCCAAGCTTATCCTGTATTGAGTGTTATCTTGAGGATACCAAACCCTCTTGTATTGCCCTGGAAACTTAATGAGGACAGGAGAAAGAGAACCATGCAACGAAATACCAAAATATCATTAAAAATACCCAGTGTTGTATTTAAAGTAAACATGTTGGCTTTGCAAATGGCAATATTTTACTCCCCTACCCTACTCTTCTACTCTATCCTAACCCTGCAGGCTAAACATGAGCCAGCAGTGTGATGTGGTGGCTAAGAGGGTGACTGCCACCCTTGGATGCATAGCCAGAACTGTGGCTTCTAGATCGAGAGAGGAACTACCGCCACTCTATACGACTCTTGTGTGCCCACAGCTGGAGTATTGTGTTCAGTTCTGGGCCCCTCATTACAAAAGGGATCTAGCAAGGCTGGAATCAGTGCAGCAAAGGGCTGGTGGCTGGTTTGCAGGGTAAGCCATATGAGGAGAGCCTGAGGGAGCTGGGTCTTTTCAGCCTTGAGAGGAGGAGACTCAGAGGAGACTTTTTAGCGGCGTACAAGATTTAGGGGGGATGCCAAGAAGTACTTCCTGAGGGTTAGGTCCCCTAGGGTATGGAATGGGCTTCCATGAAAGGTAGTGGAAGCCCCAATGTTGCGGGTGTTTAAGGATAGGCTGGACATGCACATGGTAGCCATGTCATGAATGGAGCCAGCTGGAGCCAGGGGTCAGATCAGATGGCCCAGGAGGCCCCTTCTGACTCACTCTGTTTCTATGTTTTTAACATGGCAATTTTTAAAAATATTCTGTATTTCTATTTTCCCTTCTCCAAATCTAGGTCACAAAGGAAGAGTTTTGCACATGACACTGAGTCCAGAAGGAAATAGGATCTTTACTGTGGCAGCTGATGGGGCAGCCTATGAGTGGAAGATGAAGATGTAATGGAAGCAAGCATGGTGCACCTTGAGAAGAAAAATCTTCCAATTAATGTTCTCTCTATTGGCTCTTCAGTAAAGTCATTATGAAATCAAAAATGGGACAGAAGATTATAATTTGATATAGGTAACCCGGGATTTCTCACTGGCTACAGAGAGTAGTTTTCGGGTTGCATTCTCTCTCCACTTAATCCTTCCCCTCAGGGCTGTTGTAAGCCTCTGAGCTAAATAAATAATAAATAAATATTCTGGAAAAGAAGAAAAAAGGTAGACCAGTCCTTAGGTTATGCAATGCAGATTCCTCCCTTGACTAACTGGGTTTCTGCTCTTTGTGGAAAGTTACAACAACAACTTAGGGTTTGGAACTGGAGGCATGGGGGCAGGACTTGTGGGGCTCTTCCACCCGGGCTATTTAGTGGCTTGCCCCGAGACTGCTGCCTACCGTTTGCCCCCTGCCACAGAGACCAGCAGCACTGCGAATGATGTTGCCTCACACTCTTCTCCTCAGCAGGTCAGTGCACCCAAGCCTGGCTGCTGGCAGCCGCTGGGCATGGGCCGAGTGGATCCGGGGCCTTGCTCCAGAGGCACGGAGGTGGGCCTTCCAGGGCTCTTCCAGGGCCTGTTTAGCAGCCTGCCCCACATGGACGGCACCCTTGGATGGCTGCCGAAGGGCAGCCTGCTGGAGGCCCCCTTTTCTTTTTTTCTTTTTTTGAGAGGGAGGGAGGGAGGGAGGGTGGAGGTAGTAGATGAGTAGGTTGAGCTGATTTTTAACTTTAATGTGTGAGGGTTTTTTTTAAACTATAGTGCCTGTAACAGTACTTGTTTTAATTGTTTTAATATGTCTGTGGGATTTCTGGGGGAGCAATGGGGCACCCCCACCAATGTGGTCACAGGTGGGGGGGTATGACGGTGGGGGAACAACTAGCCAATGAAGGAGAAGTGGGGGTCAGATGTCTGCCTGCTGTCCCCTCTTCTGGTTCTTCCCCCAATCAACCAAAAGCAGGTAGTTGTGTCAGCCTGCTCTCAGGCCTGGTGTACTGCTAATAAATGCCAGGTCAGTCCAGAATAAAGCATCAATTATACTTGTTTTAATCACTGAGGAAAAGGCATCCTGGCTTGTATTACAGAGGCTTGGGTGGGGCAGTTGGGGGTTGTTATGCTCACCCAGCTCTGCCCACCTGGGTATGCTGTACAGCACCAGCCTTGCCCAGAGGGCCAGGAAGGGAGAGTCATCATAGTCTGTAAAAATACGATTTCTCTCTTGAGGCTTCCTGTTCACCCGAAGATGGATTCTAGAGTGTTTGCACCTGATGTTGGGTGACTGAGATAGATTAGGGATTTTGTTGATGTACCTCCCACCCTTCTGCCTAACAGTTTCACTGCCTGAGCTGATGGAAGTAATATTGGATTTGGTGTTGGGCTCCCCCAGAGGCTGCCATATCTGGAGCAGCTCAGGACGTCATGGTAGCCATGAAAGCTGTGGAGCCAGTTCAACATGTGGACAGGTCCAACACATGTAAAAGGTTACACTCTTGACCTGATTTTTTTGACTGAGCAGGAAGATGGTGATCTGGGAATTAGCAACTATCCCTTTGTTATGGTCTGATCACTTCCTCATGAGATTTAGACATATGATTTCTTTGCTCCTCCCTAAGGGTGGGGGACCTATTTTTATTCTGTCTTTCTTTCTTTCTTTCTTTCTTTCTTTCTTTCTTTCTTTCTTTCTTTCTTAAATCTTTTCTATCCCATCCCCTACAAACATCCCGGGACAGCTTACAATAAATGGTCTTATAAAAATGGTCTATGCTTGGAGTCAGATGGATCCAGATGGATTCCTAAGGGCTCTGGGGGAATTTCCAGCTTTTGGGATGGTTAATGGCCCATTGCAATCTGGCCTTAGGGAGGACTCTGTTGAATCCTCAGTGGTCTGCTGCAACAAATTTGCGCAATACTTTGAGGGTAAAATCACTTGCATCTGCCATGAGATGGACTCCACAGTTGGAGCTTGTCCCATAAGGGAGGTGTCCAGTATTCCATCTTATCCAGTCTTGTTGGATGAGTTTTAATTATTGCAGCCTGAGGGTGTTGACAAGGTATTTGGGCAAGTTTGTCCCACCACCTGTATACTCAACCCCTGCCATTCCTGGTTGTTCATCAAAGCCAGAAAAGGAATGATACTCTGGGTGCAGGAGGTTATCAACACCTCTCTGAAGGAGGGTCTGATTCCCTCTCCTTTGAAGGAGGGAGTGATCAAGCCTCTTTGGAAGAAAACAACCTTCAAGAAGACACCCAGAGGATATCACCAATTATAGACTGGTGGCTCCCTTTTTTGGGCAAGATGCTCGAGAGGGTGGTGTCCAGGCAACTTCAGGTGCTTTTGGAGGAAACTCACCACCTAGACTCTTTTCAGTCCAGTTTCAGGCCTCGTTATGGGACACAAACTGCCTTGATTGCCCTGTGGGATGGCCTTGCTGAGAGAACGACAGAGGGAGTGCATCCCTGTTAGTTTTCCTGGATCTCTTAGTGGCTTTTGATTCAATTCACCATGTTATGCTCATGTGGATCGACTGTCCAGGTTTGGGATTAGAGGTACTGCTTTGCAGCGGTTCAGTTCCAGATGGTTTTGCTAGGGGAGTGGGTTCTGTGCCATTGCAGTTATGCCATGGAATTCCTCAGGGTTCATATTTTATCCCCTATGCTGTTCAGTATCAACATGAAACTGCTGGGAAAGGTCATCTGGAAGTTTGGGTTGAGGAGTCATTAGTACACCGATGACACCCAGCTATATCTCTCATTCTCATCCAGTCCAGCTGTGACTGCTCTAAACAGGTGACTGTATGGTGTGATAGACTGGATGAGGGCTGATAAATTGAGGTTCAATCTAGATAAAACAGAAGTGTTGCTGGTGGGTGGGCCAACTGTTAAGGTGAGTGATATTCCCTCTGTCTTTGATGAGGTTGCATTTCCCCTAAGGCAGGGGTCGGCAACCCATGGCTTCGGAGCCGCACATGGCTCTTGAATCCCTCTGCTGCGGCTCCGTCGCTCAAAATATTCATCACAGCCGCCAATCTGCGACCCACGCCAGCACAGGCGCCGATCTGCAACCTGTGCTGATTTACTGAGCTTCTCCCCCCAGTAGGCCAACTATGGATAAACTGAAGAAAAGTTTCTGAAGAAGACCGAACGTTTAATGGTACATGGGTAGATTATTTTGCTTTTGCTGAACTTATGGGGTTTGCTGTTTAATGCATGCAGCCCTTTAGCACTGACTTTGACTCTGCAGGAAGCTGTTCTCCTATTCAAAATATATGAAAGGAGTCCTAGTAGTTTATAATGTAAGATTAAAAATAACAGTTTTTAGTGACTGAACAAGAGTTGCAGCTAAATCATAATGAAGATATAGATCTACTTCCTTGTTTTAAGAACATTCTTATAAAAATTCCAGCAACATTATTACACTGGGAGAGGAATGTTTGTTCAATATTTCACCAGACTATTATTTATATTTGTTGTATTGCAGAAACTCTACTTACTGTATGAAAGTCTCAGTTAGTCCTTTTTTTATTCAGGTTGACAGCTGTCTGCACCCTCCAGTACATGTGGTAAAAGGAGGAGGGCACACAGAAGCAGACGGCATTTTTGGTTTGCTGCAGGTGGATAATTTAAGTTCGGCTTTTTATTTCATAAGTATGAGGAGGACTCAAATAGACACTGAGTATTTTATTTGAAAGTAACCTTCAAGCCAGCGACCTTTTTTTGGAGTTCAAAATGTTTTTGTTGCATGCAGAAATAAAAATTTGTTTTCTCTGTAGCAGTTCATTGATTTCATAAATGCAACACACTATAGTTTTTTTATACATAGCATAAAGGTAAAAAACGATATATGCAGTGTTATCTTCATTTTAGATGTCAAAATCGTTTGCGGCTCCCAGTGTTTTCTGTGGGAAACGGGTCCAAATGACTCTTTGAGTGTGAAAGGTTGCCAACCCCTGCCCTAAAGGATAGGGTATACAGCTTGGGAGTACTCCTCAACCCAGGGCTACCCTGGAAACCCAGGTGGCATCTGTGGCAAGGAGTGCTTTCCTTCAGCTAAGCCTGGTCTATCAGCTGTGTCCTTACCTAGACAGGCAAACCCTAGCAACAGCAACTCATGCATTGGTAATCTCTTGTTTGGACTATTGTAACACGCTTTATGTAGGGCTGCCCTTGAAGACAGTCCAGGTAGTGCAATGGATTCAAAACAGAACTGTCAGATTGCTGACTGAGACCAGTAGAAGAGTTCATATTATAATGGTCCTATATCAGCTACACTGGCTACTAATTAAAGTCCAGGCCCAGTTTAAGGTGCTAATGATGACATGTAAAGCCCTAAACAATTTAGGACCTGGTTATCAAAGGGAACATCTTCCATATGAGCCTGCTCAAACCTTAAGATCATCTGTGGAGGTCCTCCTCCAAGATCCCTCCTGGAAAGAGGTGAGGAGGGCCAGTAAGAGGAGGAGGGCCTATTCTGCTATAGCAGCCCAATTATGGAACTCATTCCTCAGAGAGGTATGCCTGGCGCCGATGTTGTATTCATTCATTCTGGCACCAGGCCAAAACCTTTTTATTCACTCAATTTTAAATTGTTAATTTAAAACAATTTATAGCAAGTTATATATTAACATTTTAATTATCATTTTATTTGTTGTATTGTTGATTATATTGTTTAAAATTATGTAAACTGTCTTGTGATGTTTAATGTATATAAAAATTTAAATGAATAAATATGTGTATGCTTTGTTTCCATATATTACCTTTGATTTCAGTCATCAGGATTTAATTTCTAACAGTCTTCTGATACAGTGACCATGGTTGATTCTAGACCATGGTATTCTTTTAGATCATCTTTGAGCTGGGAATTCGAAGCACTGTGCTGCAGTGATCCTGCTCGGATTGTGAGGATGGTTCCAGAAAGGAGAATTGTGGAATTGTGCATCAGCTTCCTGGCAGTTACGATGTTGGGTGCTGAAGGGTAACAACTTGTCTCCTTTGCTGAAGGCAATGTATACGAGATTGGGGTCAAGATGTCCACAGTATGCTGTTGACCCCAAGCACTATTTTTCTGTATCATCTGACTCAGGAGACACTATGCAATCAAATGCCTGCTTATCAGTTGGATGAGGACCAGCAAACTGAGACTTATCACCTGACAAGATGGTGACTTTGTGGTATCCAAATGTCACTGCACTGCATTTTCCTATAACAGTGGTACCTCAGTGCACAAATACCTCAGTTCATGACCAAATCGGGTCACAAACAGAAATTTCTGAAAATTTTTGCCTGGAGTCGCAATTTCTGCATCGGTTGACCCCCCAGTGTGCCCGCCTCCCCTACCCCAGTGTGCCAGCTTCACATTTTTGTGATTAAAAAAAATAGTTACAGAATGAATTAACTTTATTTACATTGAACCTTATGGGGAAATTTGACTTGGCTCACGACCAATTTGGGTCATGACCAAAGTCCTGGAATGAGCCAAGGTACCACTGTATTTGCCTGATGTTACCACATTTCTTCTGAAAGAGGATTTCATTTGGGGTGCTCCTGGATTCATGATTGTCATTAGAGGCTTAAGTGGCTTCTGTAGAAGGAGCAGCTCTGGTGGCTATGTCCGCTGCACCCTTTGTTCAGTAGGGCTTAGGGCAACTTCATGTTTAGATTACTGTGAGGGCTATTCTTGTGTCTGGCCCAGAAGCTGCAGCTGATGTAGAATGTGACAGCCAGGATGCTGAGAAGGGTGCCTGGTCCTGCACATATTATAACCCTGTGGAAGCAACTGCACTGGCTACCTATCAGGTGTCTGAGAGAATTCTATTTTATGAGGAAACTCAGTAAAGGTATTTAAGTAGAACGCATTTAGCACAGTTTGGATGTGTGCTGAGGAATAGAGCATTTTTGGAAAAGTGAGCTAGACTCAGATAGGTATGAGTTACTACATCCTGAGTCTACTCAAGGATGTGTACTAATTGCATTTGCATGGATTCACACATATTCATCCTAAATGTAGTCTACTTTCTCACCGGGCCTAATTGACCAGAAAAATACTCAAGGCCTCATCATCTGCTTCTACAGCAGGGGTCTCAAACTCAACTGACCTGGGGGCCGCTGGAAGTAGAGTCTGGGTGAGGCTGGGTCGCATCAAGTATTGCACCACCGCGGTGGTGGTGGGCCGCTCATCCCGCGTCGCTCCCAGAGGCCGGCCCCTCCCCCGTGCCCCGCCCCTCCCGGCAATTGGCCTGTGGGCCGCGACCCCTGTTCTACAGAGTGCAAATCTTCTTCTCTGGACTTGGAAAAAGCAAAGAATGAGACCATAAACACAGAAGAAGAAAGGAAGTGACGACTTTCAAAAGTTCCTAAATAAATATGTATTTAAAATCCAATTACCCCCTCTCTTCCTCACAAAGGAAAACCTGCTACATAGTCTTATGTTTCAACATCGACATGTGGGAAAATCCATAAAACAAGAAAATGAATGTGTTTTAGCCTAAAATGTTTAGAGAACAATCCTTTGGTCATTGGGTTTGTTAAACACAAATAAGCCAAAACAAGGACTCATGGTTTGTTGTTTGGTTATGACTTAATGATTGTTCATGGGTTGATGGTTTATTTGTGCACTAGGTTCACACAACAATCCACAGTGTGCCAATATCCCACCATTCAAAAATAAGCCATATTCAACACATGCACAACCTGTATTCTGGTTTGTTGTGTCCTGTGAACCAGACTGGTTTGTTTTTCAGTTTAAATCACAAGCTGCTTCTTCCATGGGGTTGTCATTTTGTGCAAACCAAAAGTGTGGACTGTTGATCAGTTGTTTCACTCAGGGCCGTCTTAACAGCATTATGGGCCCCGGGCAAAGCAGTGTACTGGGGCCCCTACGACAACTACGACTACTGTTAATTTTGGAATTTTTCCCATTTTCCAAGGGTTAACATACACAGATTAGTATGGGGCCCATGGTCAAGTGCCCATCAGGCCCATGTGTTAAGACGGCCCTGGTTTCACTAGGATACAAGCAAGAATGATCCATCCCACCCCCACAATCACTATATACACAACTGCAACACCACAGAACATTTGGGATGCAGAGAAGGAGTAGGCACAGAATGAGCAAGCAAATAGCCCATAGGTAAAAAGAAGGAAACAATAACCCCCACGCAACTCATGGATTTGGATCATCTGCCAGACAGACCTTAGGCAGATCAATGGGTTGAATAAACCATGTATTAGACTATTTGAGCAAGGTCACTGACTAACCCTTCAAATTTTGTAAGGGCTTGTAGATATTAGAAAAACAAATGTGTCTGTATCTCCTTACTTTACTGTGCTTTTGAACATAGCATGGTAAAGTAAGTTTCATTTAGATATAATATTCCAGGATAACATTCCCTCCTCTCTCTACCTGCATGCCTCCTTCCTATCCTTTCTGAACCTCTTCCAAGAACATGACAACAAACTTGGAAAAGGAATTGCCATTGAAAGCACTTACTGTTTTGCTGTGAGGGCTAGAGGAGGAGCAGGGGGAAATCTCCATTCTGATTCACTCTCCAAGAGCATAGCATTCGCAATGCATCCAGGAGATGAAATTCACTATATTATGTGATTCCTGGGACCTCTCCCAGAGACCATAGCATTGCTCTGCCCAGTGTAATAATCTAGAATCACATTATTTTGACTTTGGAAAGAACACTGCTTTCTTGCAAACCACTTCAATATAAATACAATTCCATTACAGCAAAAGAATTTTCCAGATTCATTACATTTTAATTGCCTTTTATTATTGAAGCAAGATATGCCAGAGCAATAGAAATTTGATATAGTATATGCATCACAATTAGGATATTCAGAATTGTTTATATACCACACAGAGAAATTTGAGGAAAGTATCAATAGCCATAACAAGGTAAAAGTTAGCATGTTTTGTGCATCACAGGGCTATTTTTCAGAAAGAAGACTCTGTTGTAGCCATAATATGTACATATATGGTGCCACAACATCAATTATGAAATAGATTACTGTAAATCTAGTGCTTCCAGATGGAGGGCTCCTAGTTCTACGACTCAGAAATTGTGGTTGGGGTATTCTGCTTGCTTGTGCTTAGCAGATAGATTGTGGTTAAGAAAAATGATGGAAGAAGGATGGGAACACATGGGAGGATAGGGGTGGAAGACAACAGCGCCTGGGCACTTGGTCACTCCTTCTTATTTATATTCTTTGAATAAAGTAGAGTGATTGTAGAACAAAAGTCCTGTCTGGAAGCACCTTTAATTACAAGCTAAGCAAGCATTTCATTAAGGAGAATCTGGAATGAGAACAATGGATTCAAGTGATCAATCTGTAACAACTCCTGTAAGTTCCTCTATCCAGTTAAGGTGGAACTTTGTGAGAGCTGTATAGACACCAGGGTATCGGCGATCACCACACGTCATACCAAAGGAGACAATGCCTCTTTGTTCGTCATCACATATCAGAGGACCACCTGAATCATTCTGGATAAAAAAGAAAAAAGAAAGGAGGGTGTTTATTTTGCAGAAGCTGATATTGGCTTGGTTCCATGGGAAACCATGGGGAAAAGAAACCATGGTGGCTTCGTTTCTACAACCTTACATGCCTGTTGTGCGCTGCACATTCTGCCTATTTATCCTCAGAGTATGCAGCTTCCCACGTCATCTAAGCTCAGTAAGAAACTGTATTGTATGTAGTAGCATGTGCCCTAACTGTGTTACGTGTATTTGGCATAAATACTGTGACTGTGCTTTCTCATAAATGGAAGGAGATCTAGCATAGATCTCCTGGAATAGTACTTTTCTAAGTGCAAGGATTCTATTCCACCTGTTCCCAAATACATAGGTTGCAAATGGCACAGCTTGTAGGGACCAGCCCACTTTTCCTAAAATACAGGCTTCCAGTTGATGCCTCAGATTCTGAATAAGAACTGAAGAACGAGACAAGATTGGGATTCTTAGCTAAAATATGAAGGCCAAGAGACCCAGAGATAAGCCAGGTGGAAACTGGGCATCATCTAGTTTGGTGGTAAATTCTTGTGACCATGGTGAGTTGGATGGAAGAAGAATTAACATCATTAGTGCAGTTGTTTGGTGTGTGATTAAAAGAACAGTCCAAGTTAGTGTCAGATATTTCCAGTGACTGGCCCATAAGCAACATGAACCAGTCTGAAAGTAGTGTCTGTTTCTTCTGGTTGGGGAGGGGAGGAGGGGTATTCAAATTGGGAACAAAATTGAGTAATCAAAGCATAATTAATTAATTAATTAATTAATAGGGGTTCATTTCTACTATGTGAAGGCAGATTTCAATTAGTGAGCTAAAAGTTCAGCCTCACCAGCTCTAGTTCTTTGTATACTGGTTGAGGCTGTTTTGGTTCTATTATGCTACCATAGTAAGGAAATATTTTCTTTTAACAATGAGTGGTACATTTTGTACATTAACTTGTAAATTGTCTTACACTTCCTTTAATGTCTGAAGAGGATTTGTATGGGAGTTTGATAAAATGCACATTTATTTAATAGATTTTTCAGTCAAACAGTTTAATAGGTAGATTTTTCATTTTGTTTCTATACTGAAGTTCTCTGAGCTGTTTACAAAGATTAAAATCTAAAAAGAAGTTATAAGAACCAGGTATATATAAATGGGTACATATAAGCAACACCAAGAAAGATAGATATCTAAAAACAATTTTAAACCATCTTTATTTATTTAAAACTTGTATATCCTGTCCACCACTTTGATATCTCGGGCTGGCTTACAAAAAGATAAATAAAGTAGCAAAACAACACAGCATCCAGCAATCAAGATAAAAACCCCAGTTAAAACAAAGTAAACATTAAAATAGTAGGAAAATAAAAAGATTTTCACCTGATGCTGAAAAGAATAAAGCGTCGGCCCAGGCAAACCTCTCTGAGGAACATATTCCATAGATTGGGTGCCACTGCAGAGAAGGTCCTTCTCCTAATTTCCTTCAAGAAGGGTTCCCAGAGCAGAACCTCCACCTTAGATCTCAAGGGGTGGAAGGGCACTTAGGGAAGGAGGTGCTCCTTCAGGTACCCAGCACCCAAGCCGTTTAAGGCTTCATAGGTCATCACCAGCACCTTAAATTGGGCCAGAGTTCAATTGGCAGCCAATGTAATTGAAAAAGGATCTTTATGTTCTTTAAGCAGTTGGCAGCCCTTTGTGGGAAAATAATGAATAAATAAACACTCTTACCGCGCATGAATCCTTTCCTCCATTCTCATCACCAGCACATATCATGTTCTCTGTCACGGGATGCTGAGCAATATACTGCTCCTTGCAGATGCGTCTATTAATGACCTTTATATTAACTTCACGTAACTTTTCAGTGACAGTTATGTATTTGTTGGAAGTAGTTCCCCATCCAGCAACTAGACACATGGTTCCTGGTTTGACATCAGTGAAAGATGTAGTGCTGGGCAGCGGAATGGTTTTAACATATCTATTAATATTTGCAGTTCTGTGAAGCTGAAGAAAGAATAAAACAGATCAGGGATAGGAAATGCCGGGGTCATGGATAAGATGTAGTCCACACGGCTTTCCCATCCTGCCCATGGGCCTCTCCTTTTGTGTGCTCCCCATTCCTTAGCCCTTCTCTTCCCTACTGTACAGCTGTTTCCTGATCGGCTGAGCAGCGAGGAGATTGCAAGGAGGGGAGTTTTAAATCTTCCCTCTGCCTGCTATTCAGCAGGACACTGAGCAGCCAGGAACTGCCACACTCCACCATTAAGAGGTAACTCAATGGCCCTTGTCCCTGCTATACCTAGTAAGGAAGGAAAATGAGCTGCCCTTGGGGAACAGATCCTTTTGTGCCTTGATAATCGGTCCTGTTTCTGTGCTGGTCCAGGAGAAAGAGAAGCCTCTTCTCCCCTACCCAATGGAAGGTAAGTGGAATGGGAGGAGGCAAGTGTGTGCAGGAAGGAGGGGAGCATGAATGACGGAGAAGCGTGAGAAGAATGCTGGAGCAAAGGGGCTGGGGGGTGGGGGATTGTGGCAAAGAGGGAATAATGGAAACAGAGACAGAAAAGAAATGTTTGGCCTACTTTTGGATTTGTTAACAGACATTGCTGGTAGGCATCCACCCAACGATTTTTCACTGAGGGAATGTGACCTTCAGCTTTAAAATACTTCCAACCTGTACTTTAGATCATTCCCCATTTCTGTTTGAAGTCCTCCTGTGCTCATTGCATAGTTGGAACCCATCAGTCACACATAAGAAGTTTGCAGACACCTCACCCCCAAATCTTCAGGAAAATATCCTAATGGTGGTGGTAGAGAGCTCCAAAACAAACCCACAAGGATTCAGTGGCTTGGGATGTTGACTGCCTGTATGGAAAAAACCTGACTGGTATTTTTTAAATTGTTTATAAATTATCTGGAGTTTGGGGTGAACAGTGTGTGGTCACGTTTTGTGATAACACTGCCTTATTTTAGCTGGTTAAAAAAGGCACTGTGGATCTCTCCAAACTCTCTCCGAAGGATCTTTGCAAGCTTGGTGAATGGTCTCTGAAAAGGCAAGTTCAGTTCAATGCATGTAAGTGTAAACTGAAGTAGACTGGGGTAGAACAATCCCTGGTGGCCTCTAAGCTGGCTGTGACTTACCAGGAAAGGGATCTTGGTGTTGTGGTGGATAGTAGGATGAAAATGTTGTTGTCAGCAGGGAAAAAAGGGCAAATTCAATATTGGGAAGCGTGCTTGGGAAAGGAACTGAAAAAAGGAACTGAGGAAGGAACTGAGTATTAGGAAAGGAACTGAGTATAAAACATTCTCCTATGCAGAAAGGTTACAGCATTTGGGACTTTTTAGCTCTAAAGAAAAAAGGCAAATGGAGGAGACATAATAGGGTTGTATAAAATGATGCAATGGTGTGGCAAGAGTTATAGTGGAATGCTCTCATAATACAGGGATTTGATATTTATTCAATGAAGCTGGATAATGGGAGATTCAGGACAGCATATACATATACTGTATATACATATACTGCATATACAAAACCTATGGAATTGACTAGCACAAGAAATGGTGATGGCTGCCAACTAATTATAAAAGGAAATTAAACGATTTCACAGAGGGTAGGGGTTTAAGTGGTTTCTAGTCCTGAGAGCTATATTAGCTTCAGTACTGGAGCTACTGTGCTTCTGAACTGCAGATGCCAGGGAAGAGTATTGTGCCTATGTGCCAGCTAAGAGCTACTCATAGGCAAAGCCTTTGGCAGATCAGAAATTTGATCTGGTGCAATATCAGAAATCTTGATCTGGTGATTGGTGCAAAGTGGCACTAAGATCCTCACTTGTGAGTTTGAGGGGAAATTGATTAAAACTAAGGGAAGAAAGGCAAAATGCAGATGGCTAATACAAGTTATGTTGCACTGGACTAGTGCAATTGACCTCTGGTGCAACACCAATTGGCCAGGGTGACTTATTTTATACAGTTACGTGTATTTTATATTGTTACTTATGTATTTTATTTATTTGTAAGCCGCCCTGAGGCTTCGGCGAATGGGGCGGCCTAGAAATTTTCTAAATAAATAAATAATAAATGCCATTGTGCTAGAGGTCCCTTAAGCTCTCTAGCACTGTAAGCCACCCAGAGAACCTTTGGGGAGGCATAGAAATGGAAATATATACACATACATACATACATACATACATACATAATTGCAATATAATTAATGTTACTGTTAGGATTGAACTGGATACTACCCAGAGCAAAAGAATGAACTGAGAGTAATTTAACATTCTGGCAGGACTTAGTAGAGCTCAAGGTCATCCAATTCTATATGGGCCAAGAGAAACCAGAAAGAGTTGGTGCTGTTCACATCTGGCTTCTTATGGTAGCTTTAATTTGGGGAGTTTGCTGCCTCATGCACAGAATTTCATTTGGGATTCAGATGTTTATCATGTTTATCTAGGAATCCTCCCATATTTTCCCATCCCTTCTTCTTTCCCATAGAAGATCAGTTAATGAGGAAAAGATGGCAGCAAATTGGAAGAATAGCAAGAGACAATTCCTGTAGCAGAGAAAGGAAGTGCCTAGGTGGATGATGGAAGAAGCACTCACAATCACTAAGGACAGGTGAGAAGCAAAAGTAAAAGATGATAGAAATAGGGTTCAAATCCTGAATTAATTTGAAATTCTGAAAGAAAATTCATTCAATTGAGCTGAACCACTTCTACCATCAGAGAAGAGTAACTAATCTTATTAAAGTAGAACTAGTTTTGTGTCCTGCTTTCAGTTTGAATAACTAACTAGGGCTATTTTCAGACAAGCCTTTTATTGTACGATTTCTTTCCCTCTTACATGAAATTTTTATCATGGATCACAATGTTGTTTTCTTCCAGTTGCAGCACTCCTATGTTTTCCCATTGCTTCTGGCATCTTTTTTCTGTCATTGCAGAAAATCAATTAAGGAAACATGGATTTTGATTGGTAGCACAGGGAACTGTCTATCTGGAAGCAACCTGAGTCTCCAACAATTGCAAGATAAAGATAGATATAAATTTTAATTTTTGCTCCCCATACAATAATGCACTGTTTAGAAGTGTACCTTTAAAAGCATGGCGTCATTATCATGGGTGGTGCTATTATATGCTGGGTGAATAAAGATCTGAGCAATTTTAAAGTACTGTTGTGTTTTTTCTTTTTCAATCCAGGAATGAGCACCAAGAATAATTGTTGTGTCCTGCATGAATTCTTTTTGCCTGGAAAGAGAAAAAGGACAAAGCTTTTCACCAAATACCATTTCTAGCAAATACAAACATTTAATATATTTCATATTTCTAGCAAATACTAATATACCCTTTCTGATAAATTTGTCACACAATATGTTTTAATTGTTTTGATTGTTCTGGATTTGGGGTTCTATACATTCTTTCATACAAAACCTTCAATGTATTCTTGGGCTGCAATTTTAACCCATTATTTTTCTGTACTTGAGAAACCAGGGGCTATTAAGCCCTGCACAGTAAAGAATGAAGATAGCTTCAGTTTCTGGGTCTAGATAATGACTCTTTATATAATGAAGAAGGTTAGAAACAGTTGTTTTGACAGTGGAAATGGTGATAACATATGTACTGGGATGCCATGCAAATTGTGCTTACTGTTTTCATGCACATTTTTAGTTAGATTCCCGCACCTCTTCATCTGACAGCTGGGGCAATAATTTATTTTATATTTTTGCACATGAAGCAGGGACACACAATTCATAATGCTTATTTCTGCAATCAGCTGTGCAAAATCTCTGCAGTGTTTCCAAAAGTCTGAAACTATGCTGGTTAGAAGGTACATCTCATTTCTCTTCTGCAATATATGCTGGATTAAGTAGTATTCAGATATGGCACTGATGTTACAAGAGCGTTCCCAAGCACCTCTTAGTGCCATGTATGCAATGACCTCATCCTTTCATCCCTGGCTTATGGGCTCTCCCATAGTGTTCAGGTTTGCACAATCATGTAGGCCAAAGGAGCCATGGTGGGTTGTTTCCTCTGTCTTCCATGTGCTGATCACATGCTCTGCTATTTGCCATATAACTCTTGCAATGCATGGTCTCCTGTGTTGTCTGAACCCAGTGAGGTGTGCAGTGGTGCTAGCTTTGAAATCACCCCAAGGGCTCTAGGGTGGTTTCAAAGCTCACTAAACAACTTGCCAAGTTTGGATAACACACTAACCACACTCTGAGGATACAATTAGGCAAATTGTGTGGCATGCACCAGCACATGCAGGGTTGTGGAAAACAAAGCACCATGGTTTGCTTTTCTGATGATCAGTTAAACCTGGCCCCTGACAGGATTTGCATGATCACAGAGGGGGACATAAATTCTGATGGCTTATTTCCATCTATTTGTTCCATGCCAGATGTGCATAATTATTCTTTCTGGTGTGGTTTGCTGTGCCTTGTGAACCTAGTGAGGATGGCTGATTAACAAGCCACTCAGAACCTGTGGATGTGGTGATGTTCTGTGATCATGCAAACTGGCCTACAGCCTTGATCTTGGGAAGAAATATTAAACCATTATCCACATTCTGCCCCACACTATGATTTCTCATTCTGCAGGGCCACCAGCCTTTTCTTTTTAACCTTTCTGGATCCTTTGCCAGGCAACCACTATTAGCAGGTAATACTAGGCAGAAAATTCTGCTAGCTTACTGAAGAATGTCATGGGGGCTTGCCTTGTGTATAAAGCAGAAATATGTCTCAGAACTTACCAATAGCAGTGAGCTGCTGTTAACACCCAGTTCTGTTTGATCAGAGAACCTCCACAGAAAAGTCTATTACTAGATGTGCTTTTGAGGGCAACCATATAGGGCCTTGAGTGTGGAATGGATTCTTTTCCTCCAATTATATCTGCCCCTTGTCCTAAAACAGAAATAAGCCATGTAAATCATGTCATGCCATTAGTTTGTTTTACAGTGTAGCTAATTGGCTAGAGGAAACATAATGTAATTGTATAAAGGACAAATACAGCCACATACACGTAGGCACTAAGAAGAAACATCAGTCAACATCTATAATGTGGAATCTCAGAGCATCACTGGATACTTCTAAGGTCCAATTCAAACAGTTCTGGCTTGACTGCTGATCCATATTGCATTTGTTTGTTTGTTTGTTTGAACATTTCTATGCCACCCTATTCGCCGAAGCCTCGGGGCGGCTCACAACATGAAGTAAAATACAAAAATAACAATATAAAAATAACAATATAAAATAAATAACAATATGTGTGTAATTGTAAATAATTGTAAAAATTTTATTTATTTATTTAAAAATTTTGTATGCCATCAACACATGTCTTGGCATCAGGACAGCTCACAATACATACAATTAAAATACAATAAAATGATCTTTATAAATAACAAATCCAATAAAAGATTACATAAAGACAAAAAAACAGAAAACAATGACAGCGACTGTTCAGTGATAAAATATTAGTTTTTAAAATAGCAATTAAATAAAAAGGTTTTAACCTGGTGCCGAAAAGAATATAAACTCAGCACCAGGCGCACCTCTCTGGGGAGCACATTCCATAATCTGGGCGCCACCGTAGAGAAAGCCCTGCTCCAGGTAGATGTTCTTTTTATCTCCTTTTAAGAGGGTTCCTGGAGCAGCACCTCTCCTGCAGATCTTAAGGGGTGTGAGGGCATGTAAGGGAGGGCATGTTTAAATACTCTTCCCCTCCATGTCTGGCAGGTGGCATAGTTGTATATGTTTCTGTGTGAGCGTCACATTCCCTGAGGCGTAGGGGCACAGGAGTAGTTACTTGGAAATCCAATGCTGCCACTGTAGTTTACAGCTGGCATCCCTGGTGAAACTAGAAATATGAAATGGGGTTTAGAATTCCTTTCTGTAGTGTATTGTATCATGGGCATCAGCAGCCAATGGACAACTACGTGTGTTTAAGTCCATCAACATCATGAAAATGATATGTATAACTACCTAAATGCAATTTCTTTACATGGAGGTTATGCATACCTAAACCTCTGCAGATCAGCTCCCTTGTTTTCTCATTCTCACATCTGACAGCAGTGGAAATAATGCAGATTTTGTGTTTCAATTGTATTTAAAACATTGCAATTTTAGTATTATTAGTTACCTTGAATACCAATTTTTGGCAGAAAGGTGGAATAGAAAATGAACAAATTAGTTAAATAAGTTGATTGAGCCTGTGACAAACATGTTCAATGTAAGGGGGATCCTAGTTTTTAATGCCCCATATCATCTGTTTAAAAAGTTTGACCTGCAAGTAAAAAGCTAGCACTTCAGACACTGTATCAAACAAGCATCTTTATCCTTCATATGCAATGTTTATTTACAAGGAGGGTTTTTTAAATAGTTGAAATATATAGGAAGTATCTCCACCAGCCATGTGATACCAGCAAAAAGTACCCTCACCAGCTGTCAGGATCTGGCATGCTCTGGGGTCCCATCTGATGGCCAGAACCTGAACGCCCACCCCAGCACTCACAGAATTGGTCCCAGGCCCTGCTGGAGCTCTAAGCCTCCTGAAGTGCACCAGCCAGGGGAGTCCCTGGAGGAAGAGCTGTACAACAGCAAGCTCTTCCCTCCAGAACTGGCCGCAGCATCACAGGCCTTCCTGCCTTGCTGTATGTTGGGGATTACATGAGTGGAGCCAACTGGAGCCAGGGATCGGATCCCTTCGAGACCAGGGCTGGAGTGCCTCTACTTGGTGCTGGGCGATCGAGACAGATTGGGGATTCTGTTGGTGTACTGTGCACCCTTCTGCCCAACAGTCTCCCTGCCTGAGCTGACGGAGATCATCTCAGACCTCGTGTTGAGGACCCGCAGGATGTTGGTCCTGGGGGACTTCAATCTCCATGCCGAGACTGGTCTGACCAGGGCGGCTCAGGACTTCATGATGGCCATAGGGCTGTCTCAACATGTCACAGGCCCGACCCATGAACGTGGGCACACTCTGGACCTGGTTTTCTTGATGGGGCAGGAAGAGGGAGGTCTGAGGGTGAGGAATTTATGCCTGACACCCCTGTCATTGTCAGATCACTTCCTCGTGAGGTTTGTGCTCGAGAGCGGCTTCTCCCTCTGTAAGGGTGCGGACCCGATTGTGTGGGTCCGCTCCCAGAGCCAGATGGATCTGGACGGATTGCTGAAGGCCCTGGGGGAGTTTCCGGCTGACAAGACTGGTGCTCCTGTCAAGGCTCTGGTCGAACTATGGAACGGGGAGATGACTAGGGCTGTTGACACGATCGCTCCTAAGTGTCCTCTCCCGCCAGGCAGAGCCCACTCTTCCCCTTGGTATACACCTGAATTGCGGGTGATGAAGCAGGCTGGGAGATGGCTAGAGTGTAGGTGGAGGAGATCACGGGATGAATCTGACCGAACACACTTAAGAGCCCATTATCGGGCCTATGCTGTGGCAGTGCGGGCGGCGAAAAAGAAATTCTTCTCTGTTTCCATTGCCTCCTCAAAATGCTGTCCGGCGGAGCTTTTTCTAGTGGTACAAGGCCTGTTTTGCCCTGGCCCTGAGAAAGATCTGGTTCCACCCTCGAAGGCCTGCTGTGACAACTTTGCCAAGCATTTCAGGGAGAAAATCACTCAGATTCGTCACGAGCTAGACTCTACTAGTGACTCAGAGGCTTCTGGGGAGATACCAATGTCGTCGTCTGGTCCAAAATTAATGGATGAATTTCAGTTATTGCAGCCTGATGATGTGGACAAGGTGCTTGGACGAGTACGTCCCACCACTTGCCTATTGGACCCTTGCCCATCTTGGTTAATAAACAACAGCAAGCATGGGATTGGGATCTGGATCTTGGAAGTGGTTAACGCTTCTCTGAGGGAGGGTCGAGTACCTGCCCCTTTAAAGGAGGCGGTAGTCCGACCGGTCCTGAAGAAAGAGTCACTGGATCCAGAGATGGCCACTATAGACCAATGGCCAACATCCTGTTTCTGGGCAAGGTGTTGGAGCGGGTGGTGGTGGGACAACTCCAAGCACTCTTGGATGAAACTGATTATCTGGACCCATTTCAGTCCGGCTTCAGACCCGGGTACGGTACTGAATCTGCCTTGGTTGCCCTGTATGATGACCTGTGCAGGGAGAAGGACAGGGGGAGTGCGTCCCTGTTGGTTCTTCTGGACCTCGCAGTGGCTTTCGATACCATCGACCATGGTATCCTTCTGGATTGGTCAGCGGGATTGGGGTCGGAGGCACTGCTTTGCAGTGGTTCCGCTCCTATCTCAATGGCTGATTCCAGAACGTGGTGCTGGGGGACTATGGCTCTGCACCATGGTAGCTATGCCATGGAGTACCACAGGGCTCCATTTTGTCCCCTTTGCTGTTTAACATCTATATGAAACCGCGGGGAGAGGTCATCAGGAGGTGTGGGCTGCGGAATCATCAGTACGCTGATGATACCCAGTTCTACCTCTCGTTTTCCACCAATCCAGGGGATGCAGTGGCTGTGCTGAACCGGTGCCTGGCCGAGGTAATGGGCTGGATGAGGGCCAATAAACTGAAGCTCAATCCAGACAAGACGGAGGTCCTGTTGGTTGGCGGGTTGGGCTTCGGGGAGGGTGAATTGAACCTAGTCCTGAATGGGGTTGCACTCCCTCTTAGGGACAAGGTTCGCAGCTTGGGAGTGCTCCTCGACCCAGAGCTTTCACTGGAAGCTCAGGTGACAGCAGTGGTGAGGAGCGCTCTCTTTCAGCTTCGGCTGATCCATCAGCTGCGCCCCTACCTGGAGAACGACTGCCTGGCGACAGTGACACATGCATTGGTGACTTCCCAACTTGACGCGCTCTACGTGGGGCTGCCCTTGAAGACGGTCCGGATACTTCAATTGGCTCAAAATAGAGATGCCTGGCTGCTGACGGGGACTGGGCGTTATGTTCACATGACTCCAGTCCTCCGTCAGCTTCACTGGCTTCCCATTGAAGTCCAGGCCCAATTCAAGGGGTTGGTGATGACCTATAAAGCCCTAAACGGCTTGGGTCCTGGTTACCTGAAGGAGCACTTACATCCATATATGCCCGCCTGCCCCTTGAGATCTGTGGGAGAGGCCCTTCTCCGGGAACCCTCCGTGAAGGAAATTAGGAGGGTGAGTACTCGGAGGAGGGCTTTCTCTGTGGTGGCACCTAATCTATGAAATGCGCTCCCTAGAATGTCCGCCTGGCGCCGTCGTTATTTGTTTTTTGGCACCAGACGAAGACCTTTTTATTCAAATGTCATTTGAATTGTTAATAGTATTTATTTATTTTATTCTTTGGCCAGGGCGACTTAATTTATACTGTTAATTTATATTATTTATTGAGTTTATGATGGTTGTGAGCCGCCCTGAGGCTTCGGCAAATGGGGCGGCATATAAATCTCCTAAATAAATAAATAAGTTGATCTATTATTGCTTTGGTTGTATTCTTGGTTTTAGGAGAAGCTTTAGTAATATTTTATAAGATATCATGCCAGACACCAAGTAGTAATAAACAATATAATCAGTATATTGTTGGGATCAGGCAAAAAAACCTTGTAGATATTAGTGGTTTTGACCTTAGACCAGCCTTGGCTTTCAGTCTTTTTAAATCTTCCCTGATCCATGAAGATTCACAGCAAACTATTTTTATTTGCTGTGAATTACATATGTTATTTATTTTGATTTTTAAAATGGCATTTATATTGTTTATTTCTGGAAATAGAAATAATAATTAATAGAAATAATCTATTGTTTTGGGATTGTATGATCATAAAGGGAAAAATAAGTCACTGTGAACATGCAGGTTGTACGCTTCCTAATTTCATAATTAGTCTCATCGGGTGCAGGTTGTCATGATGCC